TCGGGTTTTTCCGAGGAAACGGATTTCCTCGGAATTCCGTCGGGATATTCCGTGGAAATTCCGACGAAATCCGAAATTTGGGTTTCCTCAGAATTTCCCCGGAATTTCCTCGGAATTTCGTCAGTTTTTTCCGAGGAACCGGGTTTCCTCGGAATTCCATCGGTATATTCCGAGGAAATTCCGAGGAAACCTTAAATTTCTGTTTCCTCGGAATTTCCTCGGAATTTCCTCGGAAATTTCCGAGGAATACATTTTCCATCGGAATGGCCGTCAGAATTGCGGTGTTTTCTTGTAGTGTAGAAACAAAAGAATAAAAAATTCCATATATAATCTTTCATCCATCGTATATATAACCCCACACAAGTCAAACCAAACAAACAACAAAGATCAATCTTACATTCTTACTACTCTTGAGTTTTAAACCTGTTTGAACAACAAAAAAAGGTTCTATCAGAAATGGCTCAAAATTTGTGTATGGTGATGATGATGGTGATGGTATTGGTAATAGTGGAATGTGCTACTATTAATGAAGCAATAAAAGACCACGTAGGTTGCCTCAACGATTGCATTGGAAAGTGCGGCACAGATGAGCATTGTCAATATCGTTGCAGATGGAAGTGCTACACACCACAGGTTATGCTAAAGTACGAACTACGTATTCTTTCTTTTTAAATTATTTTGTTCTTGTCTATTGACTATTAATGTATGTATGTGGTCTTAATACAAAGGGATGAAGCAATATTGCCAGAAGTAGGTAAAAACCCTAGTCCGACCTGCTTACAATATTGCCGCATCAGATGTGGCGAGGACGAATATTGTGTGCACAAATGTTGGGAGGATTGCCCCTTCTAGAATTACTCTCTTTTAAATTTCATAAAAAACACTCAAATTATTTATGATGATCCATATGGGTTTTCATACGGCAATTTGAGTTTATAATAATGTATAGGAGTGTTTATACTTCACTCCAGAAATAAAGTATCGAATACTAATAAAAGTTTTTGTTCTATATGGGTAGTGTCAAATCTTAAATGGAGAATACATACACTATACGACAATACCATGGACCGATACATATATACTATCAAGACACCAATCAGATAAAAACGCATAACGAGCTAGGATACAATCTTTTGCATGATCAAGATTTTAAGAATTTTCGTAAGAAACCAATCTAAAAAAAAACAATCTAATTAGCATGAGCTTAAACCATAGGACATTGTGAAATATCTCAACAACAATCAAAATCCACACTTAACGATAACTAGGAAGTTTCAGTACAAAACCAAAAAGGCAAAGAATAAAGAGAACACAGAGCTTATAAACCATAACATACATTGATGAAATCTCCACAAATCCTAGAGAGAAATTGCAACATTACGGCAATAAACTATGTATAAGGAAAAGCCCCAAAACAACTTCTAATTTTTTAATTCTCAGATAAAAGCGTTCCTTTTTATTTTTTCAACTTCTAATTTGTCAGTAAAATAATGCGATTATGGCCTAGATAAAAAAAAAACAGATTAATGATATTTCGAGAAAATTGAAAAATGTTTAACCAGAGTAGTTTATTTAACAATAAACTATGTATAAGGAAATGCCCCAAAACAACTTCAATTTTTTTTTTAATTCTCAGAGAAAAGCGTTCCTTTCTATTTTGTCAACTTCTATTTTGTCAGTAAAATTATGCGATTATGGCCTAGATAAAAAACAGATTAATGATATTTTGAGAAAATGGAAAAATGTTTTAACAAGAGTAGATTATTTAATATTATAATTTACAAATAATTAAATTATATAGATTTTCAGTGGAGATTGTGAAGAGGATATGAACGAAGCACGAAATATATCTGACTATATATATACATATTTCTCTAACGATTTTTAAGATGGATTAAATCATACAACATTCACACGATTAGAAATCAGGCATTCAATTCGATTACATGGGAAAGACAAAGGAGTATAAAACTGAAGTACTAATTGAGTTATTTTGATGAAATAATAATTTATTAGTACTACTACTAAAATAGGATTAGTGGCGTAACGTAATCCCACACGTCGAAGGTATTGCCGTGTGCGGTGTCATAATACAAAATCAAATATCAACCTCTCTTCCCCGGCGGTTTGTTCTTCATTTCCTTTTCTGTTTATAATATCTTATGCGTGGAATTCTGCCTTCCAGATTTTGCTGTGATCCATTTTGACGATTAGTTAGTGATTTTGTTCGAATTTCGCTTATCGCTGGTTATGTGTGTATGGAATCAGAACTCCAAACTCGACCAGTTTGATCTATGTATACCTGATGATTAATTTCTATCTCAGGGAGATTTGCTAGGTTTATGTTTAGCATCTGCTTACTCATGTTTCATTCCTGGATGATATTCAGCTGCAATATGTTATTGTTCTCTCTCCTGTAATTTTGTATAATGCAAAGAAAGATGACAGTCATTTTCTAGCTAACTTGTTTTGGTACCTAGATCAATGTGTTATACTTGTAACTAGGATAAGACCGTGAATATATGTAATTAAAATATGAAATTTTAGTATTGACAAATTTAAAATTTACATATGATTGTTTTTATATGTATTTGATATTTTAGAATTTTAGAATTTTTATATAACTATCTATACGTAGGATCAGAAACAATTGTAATTATAACCGTAGATCAAAGCTTAGAATTTAATGGACTCGATTTCATATATCTTTTCAATTTTCAGTACTGTTCGAGTGATGAAAAATAAACGAAGCGTCACTGGGCTTGATTGGTAGAGTTTCAGCAAGTTCCGTAATACTTTCTTAAGAATCAGTTGGTAAAATATTTGCATTTAAAATATATAAAGTTTCAAAACTAATTTAATACAATTTATTTATTTGTCTAATAATATTAGAAAATTATATTTTTAGAAATAATTTTTTAAAAAATTATAAAAATAAGTTAAATTTTAAATTATTTTTTAAAACAATATTTTAAGTTTTTCAAATACACATAACCAATTTAAAATTAATTATGGTCATGATTTAACATAATCATAATAATTTAAAAAATTAAAAAAATTAAAAAATTTAACAAATAAAAAATAAAAAATTAATTCAGTTTTATATCATGATTTAAAAATTTAAAAATTAATTACGTTTATGAGAAATTTACGTTCAGCTGTCAATCCTATTTATCTTCATTTTTTTTTCTTGTTGGGTTTTTTATTTTGGTTATTACTCGATATAAATATTTATTTTTGAAGTTTATTCTCATTTCGTTTGTTTATTTTGACCTGAAATTTAGAAAATACTTAAGATTTAAAATAATTAAAGAGATACATACTTAGGTTAAGATCTCCACTTTATGCACAATAAATATTTTATATTTATTATATATTTTATATTTTTCTGCATATTATATAATAATAAAATAATAAATATATATATTAAATACTAAAAAATCAGTTACTATTATGTAATAAATTGACGTATGCATATAAATTTAACTATCACTCTTGTTTATTCACAATTAGGGTAAATAAATCAAAATAATCAATCTTATATATTAATGTATATGATATATAATTAAATTTAAATGATATAAACATAGTAATATAGCACACTTTTAATATGGATATTTATTAAATGAGGTTTCTACTCATATGATTTTATGATTATGTGCATATTTTTGTAACAAAACTTTACACCGACGATTTTTTTTTAATATGAGATGTTTAGTAGTTTTAATCATTTATAATCATTTTTTTTTTAAAATGACATATTTCAAAATTAAAATATTAAATTTTCAATATATGTTCAATGCAAATATCAAAATATAAATATGTATTTTCATACGATGTATAGTTTAATTTAAGCGATATGAAATATATATAAACTAATATTATTTCTTCATATGGTCTTATAATCATTATATTTTAATATAGAAAAAATTTAAAACCTTGATCCTAAAATTTTGTGTGAGACTTTTAACAGTTTTAGTAATTTATACTCATTTTGAAAAATTCGAAATACAACATACACAAAAAAATCTAGATTTTTATTATATGATTAATGTAATTGTGTAATTTATTTTAATAATAAAGAAATAAACAAAATGAGAAAAAGTATACAGATTGTTATCAAATTTTTATTGTTTAAAATCATTAATTGATATATATAAAGACATTAGGTAATTCTGTAAGTTTTATTTAAGGAAAGCATGCCAAACAATAAATATTTGATATATGCGACCAACTATAGCCTACGGAATATTATATTGTTAGAGAGTATAATTTTTAGAATATAAAATATTTTTCTTTTTATAAGAATGTGAATTTCATTAATCAAAATGATTGAGTTTGTACTAGTACAAAAGTTAAAGACTAAAAGCAATCCCAAGCCAAAAAAAAAGTAAAAACAGGGGAGAGCTTATATTAAACCTAAAGGGTTTGTGGTGAGCCTCTAGTCATGTTTCAGCCATAATCTCATAAGGTGTTTGAATTTCCTGCGTGCTTCCTTACCAAGATCACAATCCTAATCTGTCTGTCGATCTCTTTGAAGGCTACTTGCGGTGGTGTTGATGTTCCATTGTGAAGTCTTTGGTTTCTCTCACGCCAAATTTTGTATATGATTGCTTGAACGATAATCTTACGTACAGTAGAGGGACAGTGATTGACCCTCAAACCAATCCAAGTAAGAAGAGCTTCCCATGTGTGGAACAGAACCGGTCTGTACCCCAATCTTTTAACTGCAAGCTTCCATATCTCTTCTGCATAGGAACACCTAAGGAAGAGATGATCACATGTTTCATGGTAATGATTACAAACACAACAACAAGTAACAATCTGCAGCCCCCATGAAGCAAGCCGTGATCTAGTAGGAAGCCGATCCAATTGCGCTACCCACTTCATGCTCTAGAATCCTTCTAAATTAAAATAGAAAATAAAGAGCTATACCACATAGGATTGAAATTATTTTTAATTATTACAAACTTAAGAATATAACTTTTTAAATGATTTTCTTTTAATATATAGAGGATATAGTATAATACTCTTGTGAGCATCTAAACAAAAAAAAATTCCATCAACACATAATCATTGAATTGTCAATTATTAAAAATCCTACTTTTCCTTTTTTAATGACAGATAAGGTCAGTAAAAGTTGGAAATCTCTCCTCCGGAACAACAGAGCATAATATCAAAGAGTTCTTCTCCTTTTGTGGTGAAGTTGAGAGCATTGACATCCAACCGTTAGTCACATTCCCAAGACCTTTCTTTATTCCTTTTTCGGCTTTTGTTTGTTTTTTTTCCTTCTTTGTGATAGTGATGAAGCTATTTTCAGGCAAATTTGATAAGTTTCTCTTTGTGTTATATTATTGACTCTGAGCTTCTTCCATTTTTATTTTTTGCTTTGATGTTTTGACAAGCAGTAACGAGCACAGTGCTTATGTCACATTCAAAGATCCTCAAGGAGTAGAGACAGCTGTGCTCTTATCAGTAGGTTCATTTTTATCCCCCTTAACATTTCCTCCTCGTATCATATATGCTTAGTTTAGTATGACTGTTAGTCTAGTAACCAATCCATGAATTCATTTTTTTATGGTAAGAAACACTAAAGATGTACCTTTACTTTTCTGCCCTCATGGAAAACCATTCTGTACATTGAGTAGATAATTACAGAGTAAAACTAGTTTGTTAACTCGTAAACATTGAATCATTTGAAATTGAAGTCATCATACTAACAACTAGTCTGTTTATAACTTGTTAAAATTGGTAGATATGAAATTGAAGTCATCATATTAACAACTAGCTAGTTATGTTTTTTCTCAGGGTGCGAGTTTTGCCGACCAGTCAGTCATCATTGAGATGGCTCCTGACTACATTCCACCTACTGCCCCTCATGCTGTAATGTCTTCCACCTTGAGCGTAGCTATTTATTTTTGTTGTTGTTTCCTTCTACTTTAACCACAAACCATTTCCATTGACGTTTCATTGGTTATGTGTAATAACTTGCAAATTTGTTTTAAAATGAATATTTTCAAGAGTTGCGAGGAAAAAAAGTTCAACCAAATACATTTTCAGGACCATTAGATAGAACCATAATAATTACAACCACGAGACTGAAACTCTTCAAAAAAAAATTTAAAAATCAAGAATTAGGGAAAAGTATGACTCTTCAAATTAAAGAGATGTGTTGTTTGGAAAAAAAAATAACTGCTCATAGCAATTTTAGTTTAAGTATAAAAAAATTATTAAGACCAATAGAAGAAAAAAAAACAATTATAACCAAAGATTGTAATCCTTCAAATATGAAAAAGTATGACTCTTTCATGTAAAAAGATGTGTTGTTTGAAAAGAATATATGTTAATGCCATAAATATCGTATGTCTAAAAAACATTTCTTAGGACAANGTAAAAAGATGTGTTGTTTGAAAAGAATATATGTTAATGCCATAAATATCGTATGTCTAAAAAACATTTCTTAGGACAATTGCATGAAAAACAAAACAATGGTTGAAAAATTGTATCTTTTCATAATAAACTGAAATATATTAGTTTAAAAGTTGCATCTTTCATTATAAAAATAATTGTGTATTTTCAAAAAAAAAAATTGTTGAAAGGTTGTATCTTTTCATAAGAACCGAATTATATTAGTTTAAAAGTTGCATCTTTTCATTATTAAACAAAATTTATGTTTCAGATAAAATAGTTTAAAAGTATTTAAAAGAGAGTATAAGAATTGTGTCTTCTCAAAATAACAATTGTTGAAAGGTTGTATCTTGAGTATTTGCACTCCATACACACACTAAACCTTATAATTCACTTCATACCCTATTTCTTCCTTTATCTCTCCTCCCCACACATTACTATTTTCCCCACAAAAAATGGCAAATCCCTAATTTCCCATTTTCTTATGAATTTCTACCCAATTCACTCTTGTATCTTTTCATAAAAAAAACTTAAATATATTAGTTTAAACATTGCATCTTTTCATTATAAAAATAATTTTGTATTTAAAAAAAAATCTATTATTTTAAAACTTGCATAAAAATTTTATTTGGACCATTATATGAAAAACAAAACAATTGTTGAAAGCTTGTATCTTTTCATAAGAACTGAAATATATTAGTTTAAAAGTTGCATCTTTTCATTATAAAAACAATTGTGTCTCAGAAAAAATAATTTAAAAATATATAAAATAGTTATAAGAGTTGCGTCTTCTCATAATAAAAATCTACTAATTAAACAATCTTGATTAATTTCAAAGGCTGTGAATGCCGAATAAAAAGAAAATTGATACTCTTTATAAAAATGTCTATAAGTGTGAAAGGTTGAAAATACAAAATAAAATGAAAAGTTGTGTCTATTTAAAGAACTGAAATATAATAGTTTTAAAGATTGTTTATGTTTTCATAAGAACTAAAATATATAAGTTTAAAAGTTGCATTTTTTATTATAAATAGAATAGAGTTTTTTTATAAAATAATTTCTATTATTTTTAAATTTGCATCTTTTTCATTATAAAAAAAGTTTGTGTCTCATAAAAAATAGTTTAAAAGTATTTAAAAGAGGTTGTAAGAATTGTGTCTTCTCATAATAACAACTAGATTTTGACCCGTGCGCCCTCACGGGTGTTGATTTTATTATTTATATTGACCAGTATTTTTATATGTTTGATAATATAATTTTCTAATTAACATAAGATATATATATATATATATATATATATATATATATATATATGGATGTCAAAAAAAAATATATATATATGAAAATATGCTTAATATGACATTATACACACAAATATTTTGGTTTAAACGCAACAAACTTAATTATTTATAGACCCGCCAATTATATTAGTTGTTTGTTTTAGTATTTTTATTTAACTGGATTTGCATTAAATATATAAATAACTAACTAAAAATAGGAGTTTTATTATCTGGAACATCTTTTATTAGTTTCAAATGTAAACTAAAATTTGAGATTATGAATTAAAAAACTACAGAAATGTACTGTATTTAAAATAAGTAATATATTAAGCTATATTATCAAAACCTAAGTTATAATTTTATTAATAAATTATCTGCGTAAAGATAATAAATGGACTATCACAATAGGAAATATTAGATGAGGTCCAAATCTTATGATTGTAACAGATTATTCCCGGAAAACAAAATAGTGAGAAACTTTTGTTTAATTTTTTTGAGTTTGAGTTCTTACTTCTTAGACATGTTTAGGATATTTTATGAATTATGATGTGCTTCCAAGCTTAAGGCATGATATATATATATATATATATATTGTTGATCCGAGTGGGATAAGTTTAATAACAAATCTTAACAACATTGGTTTTCAGTTGTGAACTTGTGATTTGAATGTGAAGAAAACAGAATATATGTCTTTAAATTATTTTAATATACATTTTTAAGAGTTTAAAACAGTATATTCGTTTTGTAAGTAAGTCACACGTGATTTGCAAAAGATAATGTATGTCAATTAAGGGGGACCGAACTTTTCGTTTTCATTTTCTACGTTAAATCAAATGTGATATGCAAGTTTTGAAAACACAATATGGATATAGTGTTAATAAGATTGCTATTGCTAGTTATGATGATTGCTTTAAAATAGGAACAGATTTTGGAAAGTTATTGATTTAAGTTTTGTACGAATTATTAGTTTTGAATTGGTTTACCGGATATACATTTTTATACTGACTGACCAAATAAAGTATNGATATAGTGTTAATAAGATTGCTATTGCTAGTTATGATGATTGCTTTAAAATAGGAACAGATTTTGGAAAGTTATTGATTTAAGTTTTGTACGAATTATTAGTTTTGAATTGGTTTACCGGATATACATTTTTATACTGACTGACCAAATAAAGTATTATAAATATATTTTGCATGTTTCAAAAAACATAATATATATATATATATAGATATATTATATATATTGAATATTATACGAATTAAAAAATTGTTCATAAAATATATTTTGTAAATATTTTGAAGAACAATCGAAAATCAGACAAATATATTTTGCATATTATATGAACCATATTATTGTCCATCAAAAATAGTTTATAAACATTTTTAAGAACAATCAAAAAGCATACAAATGTTACAAAAAGAACAATCTATTAAAATAATACTTATATGGGAAACAGTTCATGTATAAACCACATGCTTGAATAGTCATGATATATTTTGGTTGAGTTATCATGGTATATATTGAATCGATTTTTTTGTGTGTGTGGTAGATATATAATAGTAGTCAATTGGAAATAGATTGGATTTGATTTAGCAGACAATACTAAACCGATAAATAATTGGTTTAGAAACACGTTAGTTTTGGTTAGTCTATAAATTAAATATAGTTGATTAAACTAATATTCTAAAATCTTGATAATAAAAGTCAGTGGCATAGGATGGTAATTATTTAGGAAAAATAAGGGTTAAGTACAAAATGTACTTCAGTTTTAATAGTTTAGATTTTTGAAAGGTTATATCTCTTCATAAAAAATGAAATATATTAGTTTAAAAGTTGCATCTTTTCATTATAAAAACAATTGTGTCTCAGAAAAAATAATTTAAAATATTTAAAATAGTTATAAGAGTTGTGTCTTCTCATAATAAAAATCTACTAATTATAACAATCTTGATTAATTTAAAAGTCTGTGAATGCCAAATAAATAAAAATTGAGACTCTTAATAAAAATGTCTATTAGTGTGAAAGGTTGAAAATAAAAAATAAAATGAAAAGTTGTGTCTCTTTAAAGAAATAACTGAAAGATTGTGTCTCTTAATAAATAAAATGAGAGGTTGTCACTTAATAAAAAATCTCAACTAATTCTAAAGGTTGTGAATGTCAAATATAATAAAAATTGTGTATCTTAATAAAAAATCCCAATTAATTCTAAAAGTTGTGAATGTCAATCAAGATGAAATGTTGTGACTCTTAATAAAAATATCAATTAATATGAAATGTTGTAAATGTAAAATAAAATGAAAGTTATTTCTCTTAATAAATAAAATGAAAGGTTGTGTCTCTTAATAAAATAAAATGAAAAGCTGTGTCTCTTAATAAATAAAATAAAAGATTGTGTGTCTTAATAAAAATACCAATTAATTCTAAAGTTGTGTATCTTAATAAAAATCTCAATTAAGTCCAAAGGTTGTGAATGCCAAATAACATGAAAAGTTGTAATTCTTAATAAAAACGCCTATTAATGTGAAAATATTGTAAATGCAAAATAAAATGGAAAGTTGTGTCTCTTTAAAAAAAAGAAGGAAAAGTTGTTTTTCTTAATAAATAAAATGAAAGGTTGTGTATCTTAACAAAAATCTCAATTAATTCTAAAGATTGTGATGCCAAATAAAATAAAAAGTTGTGTATCTTAATAAAAATCTCAATTAATGTGAAAGGTTGCGAATGCCAAATAAAATGAAATGTGGAGTATTTTTGAAAAATATATTTTATGATTTGTTATATACCCTTAAAAGTGTCTTTTAAGGAAACAAATAAATAATTAACCTTCTCTGATTATTTTTATATTTAATTTTAAAAATGGTTTGCGTTTAAATTTGGCATACAAACTTTATAAAGTAGTTCCATAATTTGTATAACACGATACACCTTGGATTGTATATTCATTTCTATAGGTGTGTAGTATTTACCATCATGAGTCATGTCTTTCCATTTTTCAAAAAAAAAAAAAATTGATGTTAGTGTCTATGTGCTTTCATTACCATACATATGAATGTATATATTTTTATACTTATTACAAGGTACAATAGAAATTTAAGGCTGTTTCATATACACTTCTTTTTGAGCCATCGATCCATATCATGGATAGTCCATAGCACCCGACCATGAACAGTATGTTTACCACTCATGATGGCTCGGCCTTAACTCTAATGACTTGCATCCATAAGTATCAATGATATTATGTTCGTTCACTTTTGGTAACATTATGTTCGCACCCTTTCGGTGATGTTATATTCACACCTTTTTGATGACGTTACATTCACACCTTTTTGATGACGTTACATTCTCACCATTTTGGTGATGTTACATTCGCACCCTTTCGGTGACGTTCCATTTGCACCCATTCGGTGACGTTACATTCACACCTTTTCGATCCCGAGCCACTCGAACCCTTTCAGTGCCGAACAATTCGCACCCTTTCGGTGCCGAACCGTTCGCACCCTTTCGGTGCCGAACCGTTCGCACCCTTTCGGTGCCGAACCGTTCGCACCCTTTCGGTGCCGAACCGTTCGCACCCTTTCGATACCGAACCGTTCGCACCCTTTCGGTGCCGAACCGTTCGCACCCTTTCGGTGCCGAACCGTTCGCACCCTTTCGGTGCCGAACCGTTCGCACCTTTTCGGTGCCGAACCGTTCGCACCCTTTCGGTGCCGAACCGTTCGCATCATTTCGGTGCCGAACCGTTCGCACCCTTTCGGTGCCGAACCGTTCGCACCCTTTCGGTCCCGAACCGTTCGCACCCTTTCGGTCCCGAACCGTTCGCACCCTTCCGCTCCCGAATCGTTCGCACCCTTTCGGTCCCGAACCGTTCGCATCCTTTTGGTCCCGAACCGTTCGCACCCTTTTGGTCCCGAACCGTTCGCACCCTTTCGGTCTCGAACCGTTCTTTCGGTCCCGATCCGTTCGCACCCTTTCGATCCCGAACCGTTCGCACCCTTTCGGTCCCGAACCGTTCGCACCCTTTCGGTCCCGAACCGTTCGCACCCCTTCGGTCCCGAACCGTTCGCACCCTTTTGGTCCCGAACCGTTCGCACCCTTTCGGTCTCGAACCGTTCTTTCGGTCCCGATCCGTTCGCACCCTTTCGATCCCGAACCGTTCGCACCCTTTCGGTCCCGAACCGTTCGCACCCTTTCGGTCCCGAACCGTTCGCACCCTTTCGGTCCCGAACCGTTCGCACCCTTTCGGTCCCGAACCGTTCACACCCTTTCGGTCCCGAACCGTTCGTACCCTTTCGGTCCTGACACGTTCGGAACCTTTTGGTACCAATATGCTCACACCCTTTCAGAACCGATACGTTCGCACCCTTTCGGAACCGACACGTTTGCACCCTTTCGGTCCCGACACGTTCGCACCCTTTCGGTACCGACACGTTCGCACCCTTTCGGTACCGACACGTTCGCACTCTTTCGGTCCCGATACATTCGCACCCTTTCGGTCCCGTCACGTTCGCACCATTTCGGTTTCGATACGTTCGCACCTCTTGGGTCACGGCACGTTCGTAGTTCATGACACATTTGTATCTCTTGGGTCACGACACATTTGTACCTCTTGGGTCACGACATGTTCGTACCTCTTGAATCACGATACGTTCAGACCTCTTCGGTCACGACACATACAAATATTATCTTCTAAAAAGTCAATATTAATATTTAAACTTATGAAAATGTATGACAAATATGATTGTGGCTATTAAAATGAAATATATGCATTTTCAATGAAGAGGTGTCAAATATTTGATGACATCATCAATCATATGAAAAGATTTTTTTTGGTCCATTAGATCTTAAAATTAAGTTAACTATGACCATTGGATTGAATTTTTTTTTTCCTATACAAAAATGCTGATGTCATTTTCAGTTTGCTATTATATATAGATTGGAAATTGTTCAACCAATAAAATTTTATCGTCTTTTTCTAATTGGTTGAATGATTATAATATTATATCTTTTAAAGTGTTTTTTAGAATAATATAAATTTCTTAATTTTTGTGCACCAACCCAAAACATCATATATAAAAAATAGAGAGAGTATTACTTTTTGTGTGCAAAACGTCCTTCGTATTCAGCTGTCATATCACTACTGTAATCTGTGGATTGACACTAATTAAAAATGTTTATTATATGTTTTGCTATAAACGATCCTTAAGATGGATTAACACAAACAACATTCACATGATGAGAATTGAGAAATCAAGATTCAGTTCGATTACATGGGAACGACGATGGAGTAAAAAGAATCTGTACAAAAGATATATTCATCTTTAATGGGTAATTTGTATACTTTCGTCGACTCTTCTTGGCGTTTGATGATGCTCAGACCATGACAACGATGATGACGATGAGTAAAACAATCCCAAAAATGAGAATCAAAAGACATGTCTGCAACAAAGTAAAACATATGGGAACTTAAGCTTTAGCTGCTAAAAATACAGAATAATTAAATTGAAAAAAATGTGAGAAGAGAGTCTATCTCTTAGTGTGTACCAAAGATGAGTTTGCTCTTTGAGTTTTAGATGCTATTCTGAGCTGAGCAATGGCTTGTGCAGTTGCAGCTTGTGAGTTCTCAATGTTAGAGCTGATGTCATCTGCCATATAGACATTACAGAGTTTATTTAGATTTTAAAGAAGAATAGGAGATAAGAAAGTTTATGATTTATGTTTGTTGGAGTTACTTACCGATCATAACTCCTTGATCATTCACTAAAACAGCTAGATCCTTGAAGATTTCATTTACTTCGCCAATCTGTTCTTGAATTTCTCTAATTCCTTGCTCTCTTTCCTCGATAATCGCTTCATTGAATGTTATCTCGTTATCTAGAAACACTACTTCTTGCCTGGAAGGAGAACAATAAGAAGTTAATAACACATCGCTGCAAGATAACACAACATGCTCAAACAGAGAAGGTCGTTTAAACTGGGTTCCATGGCCATAACAAGCTTAGAAAAGTGCATTAACTTAAGCTTACATCAACAAATAAAGCTGAAGTTTAGTAACCAATTAGATATATCATTAGCGAACAAAAGAAAACTGCATGTGTGACTCACATTTGGGCATAGTTTATGCTAACAGATGATCAAATGAATTAGAAAAATAATATGCTATTGCATACAATCAAAACACACACACACACACTCCTCACCTTCTTGATTGTAGAAGAGTTGTTTGCTGTTGAGAGGTCCATAACGATTCGGTATCCAGCTCCTGTGCATTATAACTGCATAAAGTGACATAACAATGAAGCATGTATAAGTACAATTCTAATTCCACAAACTCTCGGTAAATATTTCCAAGTTTAAAGTTTTCTGAAACATTTTAAAATTTCACAAACTACATAAATCAAGCTTCTTATCTGAATTAAAAACACATAACAAAACAAGACTCATTCACCGTGACCTTCTACTTCTAAACAGGTATTAAAACCTAAGGGCAACATTATCGTAAAAACACTTTCAAGTTTCTTACCTTTTTTTTTCGTTTTCTGATTTATAAAAAAAAATAATTAAAAACAGATCAATTGTGGGCCGTCCCGTATCCGTAAGGTCCACGAACAAAAGAATAATGACGGACCAAGGACGTCTCTTATATAGAGACTTTTGGCTAACGTTTTTAACAAAATTGGCGGATCCTCCCTTAAGGACTGTGTTATAACTTATAACGCAGCAATAATTTTGCTCTAACAGGTCAAAGTAGAATCAACATGTGTTGACCTACCTGGTAGGGATATCTATAGTGACGGCAGTAGGAGTATATGTAATTTCTCTTTCAGCAGCAAGTCTCTGAGCTTTCTGAAACTCTTTGAGAACTGCTTGAAAATCTTTCGCCAGTTTAGCATCCGCAATCTTCTTAATTGGCTGCGAGAGAACACACAAAACATTATAACATAGAATTAGGATAACATCTATAAATAAACAAAAATGTCACACACGTCACACAACACCTAGCAACCAACCAATCAATTCTCCAATTAAATGTTATCTTTCATATCTAACAATTTTGATTAGCCCCATAAAAAACAAAAAAAAAAAGAGTAAGCATTTGACTTACAGTAGCTGCTCCATGAAGATCAACTTCGCTAGCTTCTTTAAGTTTAGCTGAAGTATTTTTCACCAATTCTGAAATCTGTAACCTTGTCTTTTGCCTGCCAGAAAAAAAAAAACATTTATAAGACAATTTCCAGCAAAATAATAAATAAACATATTTTTATTCTATAATTCAAAGCAAAATCAAAAACCCTAACTAATAACACCGAGATTTAAACGCACATAATGCAAGGAAACAATCGTCTTTTGTTGTTCACATGGATATGGAAGCTCCGGTTTGGTTTACCGAGTCACTTATAAGTCTCTGTTTTTATGTTGATGTAAAAAAAAAAAACACTGAGATTTAAACAAAACAGGGGGGGGGGAGTGATACTAACAGCTTGTCACGCAAGTCAAGAGTATCCTTAGCCGTTCCGATGGAATTAACGAGGCGGAAGAATGAATTGAGAGCCGTGCTGATCCTGAATATCCCAGCGGCTACCTCCTGAGATGGATCTCCACGAAACAAACCTCTCTGCTTTCTCGGCGTCTGAAATCGAGAGCCAGCTTCGAGATCTTGGAAACTCATCTTCCTCTTCTCGAATCTCTTTCAAAAACGACGAAGATGAGGGGAGAGTTAGGTGTCGTATGATTTATTAATAACATCTCCGGCAAATAGTTTATATTTGTTTTAAAAATGTAAAATTTGTTTTTTAAAACCTCATGAGTCATGTGGTTTGCGTGTGTAAATGGAATAAGGTGGTGGGGAAAGTATATTTTTTAAGGATACTGCGTGCGGAGGTCGTTGTTGACCCGCCCTTTTTCGTTTGAAATCGAAAATTAGACTCAAGAACGATTAAACCGGAATGATTCCAAACCGAACAAAACCAAGCTTAAGTCAACTGGTTTTAGTTTAACCAGATTAAAGCCCAATTTGATAAAGATAAGGCTTGCTTTATCAAACTAACAGATTCACATATCCAAAAGCCCAAAACTATTTCCACACAATTTGGAAAAGTATCAAGAAGCATTTAATAATGAAGTTTAAGACAGAAAAATATTGGGTTTTGGGTAGCATGTTTCAAAAACTCTCTCTCGCGGATATCGATTTTATTTTCTCTCAGGCACTCTCTCCAAGATCAGTCTTTACACGCTGGACGCTTCCCCTCATCCTAAGTTGACTTACTCGTTTTGGTCGTAACTCCCTTTTATCCAGCATACTTTTTTCGAATCTTGTACTTCTTTAGGAATTTCCTCTGGTCAATAGATACATCAACTCTTTACACCACGGCCTTTGCCATAGTTCCGGCCAAACCTTACCGGCCGGTCAGTTAGAGTACCGGGTTCTACCCCTGGCGTGAAGCCAGAGGGTCCGTCTCCGCCTACAGCTACTTTGGGTCGACAGGTACTCCTCAAAGTGTTTGGGCTGTCCTCACTTCACCCCCACCACCTTCGCTCATCCTCTACCTTGACGGGTGGAGTAACAATGGCAACGCGGAAGTACACTGCTGCAGAGAAAGGAAAACACATTGTACATCAAAACATGCTGCATGAAAGGAAGCGGATTAGGGCGCCCGAGTTTGACAACTCAGAACTCATCAAAGACAATATTCTTACTCTCATCGGCAGAGTCACCAATGCTAAGGAGCAGCCTATAAGCTCACTTATTTCTAATCTACCGAGGAGCTGGTCCCTGAAAGGGAGAATCACAGGCTCAGATCTAGGCCTCGACTGTTTTCAGTTCAGATTTGAACTCCCTGAAGACATGAATAGGGTTCTTGAAAATAGACCCTATCATTACCACCACTGGATGGTCGTTTTACAACAGTGGGAGCCAATCATCTCCTCTACCTTTCCATCTCAAATCCCTTTTTGGATACGACTTCAGGGACTCCCCTTGCACTTCTGGCATGAAAAAATGTTATCCAACATAGGGAAGGATCTTGGTCATTATAAAGGATACCATATCTCCAAAACCTCAGCCAGGGTCAGAGTTATGGTGGACGTCTTCAAACCTCTCATAAAGGATCCTCTCATCGAATTCGAATCAGGAGAAGAACTCTCTGTCGAGCTAGACTATGAAGGTTTGAAATCCCACTGCTCTAACTGCTTTATGTTGACACACTCCTCAAGGGAATGCACATGGAAGAGTCTACACCAAGAGCCGGAAGATTCCGAGAGAATTATCAGCTCCCCTTACAGAACAACAACGACGGAGCCTAAACACAAAAGTCCGAACTCTGAACTTCCTATGCGCAGAGCCACTACCAAGGAACCTTACCATCAGAGGATTGACAGGCACGGCAACCCGTTTGGGGAAAGGATCCCCCCTCCAATTGCCAGGGGTCAACCACTCAGGAACAAACTAACCCCAGCCAGAGGAAAGGAGGAAAATATCCCACAAGCTTCGCCAACGCGAAGAGATGCGCCAGCCCACACGCGGGTTAGAGTCTCGTAACCAACAAGGAAGATTTCCTTCACAACAATGGCGAGAAAAAGAGAGGCGACCCATACCACCACTACCTCCAACATATCCAGCTAACAAGGCCGGTAGGAAGGGTAGACAACCTCTAGAGAGAAACCTTGCTTTGTACGATTTCCCGCTAGAACAAGCGGGGATACCATCCCAAGAGGAAGTCCTGGAGGAGCTTAGGGATGCTACTCAACGATATCTAAGCGTGGAAGATCCTGTAGAGAGAGCTGCTCGACAGGAAAGAGTTCGCATCAGTGAGGAGGATAATCTTACGGCCACAACAGCAGCAGGTATAATGGAAGCAGCGCAAATACATCTAGCTAATGAGGAAGTCCTGGTTTCTACACCAACAGTCTTTGATAGATTGCAAGAACCGATAGTACCTCCATCTGTCTTTACTAGACTTGAACTACCAGACCAAGAGGTGGCCATACGACTCCCCACAATCCATGAATCTCCTACAAGAGTCAACAGAGAGTCACGTAGCGCTCGAAAAAGAAGAAAGAAATCCTCTAACAGTTTGAATGTGGTTATGGGAGCAAGCACTAGAAAGAGAAACTTACTCAGAGCCTCCCCTTCACAACACGGCTTCCCCTTTGCATCACCTGTTCTATCTCAGACAACGGCCAACCGGATCCTCACAGAAGAAGCAGTGACAATTCAACGGTCAAGGACAAGCGATGGGGAACCTCAGGGTTTTCACACCCCTCGTCCCTCTCTTCCTTAGTCGTCTTGAGCTGGAACTGTTGCGGGATTGGGAACCCCCAAACAGTCCAAAGGCTCAAAGATATGACATTAAAGTGTTCCCCGGACATCATCTTCCTATCTGAAACAAAAAACGCAGATGAGACTGTCATAAAAGAAGTGGAAGATCTCTTGTTTGCTTCAAAATTTTTGGTCTCACCTTCCTCTGCTTGCTCCGGAGGCCTTGCACTATTATGGAGAGAAGATGTTGATATCCAGATATTGTCATCTAACCAGAACTTTATTGATACTCATATATCATTCAAGAACTCTTCTTTCAACGGTACTTTCGTGTATGGAGCCCCTGAAATACCAAAAAGACAAGCAGTTTGGGATGCGCTCTCAATAATCTCCTCAAACCGAGATAACCCTTGGTTCCTTACGGGGGATTTCAATGAAATCATCAATAATTCAGAAAAGTCAGGAGGGAGAGAAAGACCTGAAAATTCCTTTAGTGCTTTCCGTTCTCTCATGTCCTCCTGTGATCTATTTGATTTGAAACACACCGGGAATTTTTTGTCGTGGAGAGGCACACGTCACATGCACCTGGTTCACTGTCGTCTAGATCGGGCTTTGGCCAATACTTCATGGATGGAATTATTCCCTAATGGACGCTCTCACTACCTCCCCTTCGAGGGATTGGATCACAGACCACTCTTATCTACTTTTGACAGCAAAAAGAAGAAACCACTACGATTGTTCAGGTACGATAGAAGGTTGAGAGACAATGAAGAAGTCAAAGCTCTTGTTGATAATACCTGGAATGGTCACCCAACTCTCTCAGTACAAGGCAGGATTGCTAACTGCAGACACGCCATTGCGGCGTGGAGTAAAATCAACTATGTCAATAGTCAGAAAGAGATTGAGGGGTTAAAGAAAGAACTGGATGAAGCAATGGCTGATGTTCATACCGACGATCTACTGGTCTCATCAATTAATCAAAAACTTCTTAAGGCATACAAAGAGGAGGAGGAATTTTGGAAACAAAGGAGCCGTCTCCTTTGGTTGAATCTAGGAGACCGAAATACCGGGTTCTTCCATGCTTCTACAAAGAAAAGACGAGCACGTAATAGGATGACTACTATTGAGGATTCAACAGGCAACCCTGTTTTTGAAGATAACCAAATTATTAATGTGATCACTGAGTATTACCAGGGTATTTTCAACTCCTCCTCCCCCTCAGCTACTGAAGTGGTCACAAAGGCTCTTACTCCGTGTATATCCACGTCGACTAATGAAAGGCTTACGGCTATCCCTTCTCCAGCAGAGGTTAAGAAAGGTCTTTTTGGTATCCACCCGGATAAAGCCCCGGGGCCTGATGGCTTCTCAGCAAGCTTTTTCCAAACAAATTGGAATACCGTGGGCCCTGCAATCACAAAAGAGATTCAATACTTCTTTGCAACAGGATCTCTACCTTGCTCAATCAACACAACTCACATCAGGTTAATTCCAAAAATCCAGAGCCCTAAAAAGGTAGCAGACTACAGGCCTATTGCTCTCTGTAACGTCTATTACAAAATCATTTCAAAGATCCTAGCTCTGCGCCTAAAACCTGTGCTACAAGAAATCATCTCAGAGAACCAATCAGCATTCGTTCCGGACAGAGCCATATCCGACAATGTTCTTATAACTCACGAAATGTTACACTACCTAAAGACCTCAGGAGCTACGGTTCATTGTTCAATGGCGGTAAAAACAGACATTTCTAAAGCTTATGACCGTCTTGAATGGTCCTTTGTACAAGCGGTGATGGAAAGACTAGGGTTCTCAAATACCTGGACACATCTGATCATGCAGTGTATATCCACGGTCTCCTATTCCTTTCTCATTAATAATGAAGTTGCTGGCAATGTGATTCCGGAACGCGGGATACGTCAGGGTGACCCCCTATCTCCTTACATCTTCATCCTCTGTGGAGAGGTACTCTCAGGCCTCTGCAAAAAGGCACAAGTCAATGGTACAATGGCGGGTCTCAGAGTGTCTCTAAATAGCCCGCGTTCAAACCACATGTTGTTTGCTGACGACACAATGTTCTTCACAAAGACTGATCCCCAAAGTTGTGCTACGCTTATGGGTATACTCAATGGGTATGAAAGGGCTTCCGGCCAGATGATCAACACTGCAAAATCCTCCATCTCTTTCTCTGCAAAAACATCACAGGATACAAGAAACAGAGTCAAACAACATCTCAAAATAGAAAAAGAGGGAGGAGTGGGGAAGTACCTGGGTTTGCCTGAGCATTTTGGTAGAAAAAAGAAAGATATGTTCTCTTCAATTGTGGATAGGATGCAACAAAAAGCCTTAAGCTGGACTAATAGGTTTCTCTCATTGGCGGGAAAGGCTACCCTACTACAGTCGGTGCTTTCTCCTATCCCAAGTTATGCCATGACCTGTTTCGAGCTTCCAGTTAGTCTCTGCAAACGTATTCAGTCGGTCCTCACCAGATTCTGGTGGGATTCAAAGGAAGGGGAAAGAAAAATAAGTTGGGTCTCATGGGACAAACTTACACTGCCAAAAGGACTCGGAGGAATGGGATTCAGGGATATCCGAACTTTCAATCATGCTTTGCTTGGCAAGATTGCGTGGAGAATTATTAAGAAGCCGGATAGTCTTCTCGCTAGAATCCTGGTGGGAAAATACTGTAACTCAGCTTCCTTTCTCACCGTCAACGCCACCACTTCGTCGTCACACGGCTGGAAAGGAATCTTCAAAGGCAGAGATCTCCTACTCCAACACTTGGGGAAGGCTGTAGGAGATGGAGAATCCACAAGTGTGTGGAAAGATGCTTGGATGGATCCAGGTTCAAATCTCAAACCCTTTGGCCCTATCCTGCAACAAGACCAAGACCTTCTTGTTTCAGACCTGCTTCAACGAGAGACCAAGGAGTGGAATATATCAAAAGTGGAGAACCTTTTACCTGAACTGGCTTCGGTCATTCTATCCTTGCGTCCTAGCAAGTTAGGCAACAAAGACACTTTCACCTGGAATCTCCAACGGTCAGGAGAATATACCGTCAAGTCGGGGTATTTTGCTCTGCACAATCCAAAGATCCAATCGACATTATTACTCTTGGATCAGACCAATATGGAGTGGAATTGGAACAAACACCTATGGTCTACACAACTACTACCAAAATTAAAATTGTTACTCTGGAAACTATGTCACAAGGCGTTACCTACCAGTGATAATCTCCAGAGGCGGGGTATTCATATTGAAGCAGGCTGCTGTAGGTGTGGTGAACCGGAGACGATGCTTCATCTCTTTTTCCAATGCGATTTTGCAAAGAAAATCTGGGACATTGGCCCCTGGAATCATGGCAATGAGGTTTCAACCTTCTCCTCGTTTAAGGCAGCGATTATCGCGTCAGGTACTTGGAAGCCTCTTCCCCCTTATGGGTTCACCAGCAATGCTCTTCCTTGGATTTGTTGGTTTATCTGGATCTCCAGGAACAAGCTTCTCTTCGAGAAGATACCGTCATCTCCAGAAAGCGTGATACTAAAAGCCCTCATCGCAGTCAAGGAATGGGACCAAGCACAGCTGACTAAAATCAATCAACCTCTACAACCAATACCCCTGCCGATAGACCTCGAAGACATCACTTCGAACCCTCTCATGATCTATTGTAATACAGATGCGGCCTGGAAAGTGGGAGAAGCAGGATTGGCGTGGATCTTCACAAACAATGAAGGATCGGAACTGAACAGAGGCTCTCAATACCAGGATCGAGTCTCCTCGGCTTGCATGGCGGAAGCGATCGCCATCAGATGTGCTCTCCTCAGGGCAGTCGAACTCAATTACCACCATATCTGGCTCAGATCAGATTCACAAGTGCTCATCGGAGCAATCTTATCGGGACGAAGACCGACCGAACTCTATGGAGTGCTCTCGGACATCGCCACGATCGCACAATCTTCTTTCTCGTCTTGTCGTTTCTCGTTTATTCCAAGAGGGAGTAATGGGCTTGCGAACTTAAATGCAAAATCTTGTTTGTATTCTGGCCCAACCCATAACCTCCTCTGAGACTCTTATCTATTTATAAAATCAACTTGTTGTCCAAAAAAAAAAAAAAAGACAGAAAAATATTAGATGTAAAATATACTAATCATTTTTCAATGAAAAATTCCTTATGATATAACTAAAAAATTATTGTCACAAATATAGAACTTAAAAATAAAAATAATTAAAAATAGACTTAAATGTTTTATCAAAAAAAAAAATATACATTTATACTCTTTGGGTTAATTAATACTAGACTTTTTTTTTTTTTTAGAGTTGAGTAATAGAATGTAGAATTTATGATTTTAAAAATAAAAATAAAATTTAAAATTTTTAAAATAAAAAATGATATTTTGGTCATTTTAGTTTTTGAGATCTATTTTTGTGATAAAAATTTTAAAATATCCATTTGAGAAAATTGACACTGTTCAAACTGAGCTACTTAAATAGTTTTTTTTTTCCAATCACTGGATTAGTAACTTTAATGCATAAAAAACTTTAAATACATAGACTTTTTTTGATGAGGCAAAACATTTTATAATATTTAACAACTATAGATTTATAGTGATTATATAGTCTTATGCTATTCAATTTCTAACTTTTTTTTATTTGAGAAGAAAAAGCAGTGTAAATAGGAAAACTGAAGTATTAATTGAGTTTTTTATGATAAAATATTATGAATTGTTTAAAATAATAATTTATTAGTATTATTATTACTACTAAAAAATAGGATTAGTGGCGCCGGAAAAAAAAAAAAAAAAAGGATTAGTGGCGTAACGCAATCCCACACGTCGTCGTCGAAGGTATTGCCGTGTCAGTGTGCGGTGGTGTAATAAGAAAGCAAAGTCCCTTCTCGAAGTGTGCGTTTCGGTTAAAGGCCAATCTCTTGAATCCGCGTTTAGTAAACAATCTCAACCTCTCTTCCCCGGCTAAGAAGATCAACACACGTCCATGGCGGTTTGTTCTTCATTTCCTCTTCTGCTAATAATTTCTTATGCCTTCCTGTGATCCTTTGTTAGGAAATTTATAGTGATTTGTTTTTAAGTTCTGAAACCGAATTGAGTGCGTACTCGCTGTTGATCTGTGTGTATGGAATCAGAACTCGTTCAGTTGATCTGTGTACAAGTTTCATCTCAGGGAGATATTTTTTTAGGTTTGGTATAATGATGGAATACAGATTACAGGTTTTGTTTCAGTGTAATGATTCTATTTGATTCGTTTTTTTTGCGTATTTCTGATTTTAGAATGTTGAAGCTTTATGTTTCATTCCTGTTCTCTGCTTTTATTTTATATAATGCAAAGATGACAGTCATTTGGTCCCTAGGTGGGTCAATGTGTTTTACTTTAATAGTAGTATAATCTTGTGAGAATCTAAACAGAACCAAAATTCCATCAACATCTCTGTTAATGATTAAGAATCATATTTTTTTTCTCTTTTGGGATGACAGATAAGGTCAGTAAAAGTTGGGAATCTCTCCTCAAGAGCAACAGAGCATGATATCAAAGAGTTTTTCTCTTTCTCTGGTGAAGTTGAAACCATTGACATCCAACCGTTAGTCTTATTCCCAATAACCTTTCTTTTGCTTATTGTTTTTGGTTATAATATTGACTCTGAGCTTCTTTTGTTTGCTTTTTTCATGTTTTGACTAGCAGTAACGAGCATAGTGCTTTTGTGACATTCAAAGATCCTCAAGGAGCTGAGACCGCTGTGCTCTTATCAGTGAGTTCACTTTTCTTCCCTTTAAGCATTCTTCCTCATATCATATATGCTTAGTTTAGTAACCAATCCATGATTTCAATTTTTTTTTTATGGTAAGAAACACTAAAGATGTGCCTTCACTTTTCTGTCCTCATGGAATCCCTTCTGTACATTGAGTAGAGAATTACGAGTTTGTTTATAACTTTCAATATTTGGAACTTTTGACATTGAAGTCATCATACTAACACAACTAGAGATGTTCTTTTCTCAGGGTGCGAGTATTGCCGACCAATTAGTCATCATTGAGATGGCTCCTGACTACACTCCACCTACTGCCCCTCATGCTGTAATGTCTTCCATCTTGAACGTAGCTATTGATTTTTTTTTTTTTGTTTCCTTCTACTTTAACCACAAACCATTTCCATTGACGTTTCATTGGTTATGTGTAATAACTTCCAAAAATGTATACCTCTCAAATATGTGATTGGTAGATGGTCCTCAAGACTCTTAAGTAACAGTAGATAGAGTGTCTGGATAACAAGCTCTAAAGGTTTCAATTTGTGTTCATTTTCCCAGGAAACACAGAGCGGTGGTGTAGGAGGCGCTGCAGAATCCGTTGTCCAGAAGGCAGAAGATGTTGTGAGCAGCATGTTAGCAAAGGGTTTCATCCTAGGAAAAGACGCTGTCGGAAAAGCAAAAGCTTTTGATGAGAAACTCGGCTTCACTTCAACCGCAACGGCAGGAGTTGCCTCTATAGACCAAAAAATCGGTCTAAGTCAAAAGTTCACAGCTGGCACAAGCTTGGTGAACGACAAGATCAAAGAGGTGGACCAAAGCTTCCAGGTTTCAGAGAGGACCAAGTCTGCGTTTGCCTCTGCGGAACAGACTGTTAGCAGCGCGGGAACCGCGGTGATGAAGAACCGTTATGTGTTAACCGGTGTGAGCTGGGCCGCAGGAGCGTTCAATAGAGTTGCTAAAGCGGCTGGAGAGGTTAGTCAGAAAACAAAAGAAAAGGTTGAAGCTGAGCAACCGCCGCCACAACCGTCAGAGTCGCAGCAGCAACCACCGGAAGGGTATTCTCCCATTCGTTAGTCCGAATACTCCAAGAACTAAATCTCATTACACAGTAAAAAGGTTTCGTTTTTAATACTTTTGTGGTTGGTTTCTTTGATATGAAGAAAAAGTGAACTTGGTTGTGTCTTTTGGTATGTAACATAAAATGTATGCTTGGATCTTCTAAATTATTACTAACATAAAAAGTTAAGCTATGGATGAATTACAATTTATATTCCCAAAAGTGTTAGCTATATTTAATTTAATCATCTAACATTACTTTTATAGGGGGTTTCACTGGTGTAAGAGCTGTTTCATGTAACCAAATTTTTTTGAGATCTTGAAATTCATGTTTTAATAGGTTACTTTGCAATACACATGCCTATGCATCTCAGTGCTAACTTAAACATGCTTCTTCTTTGTTGCTATACTCATTGTTTGTGCCACACATATTATTATAAAATAGTTATTTTATTTAAATCAGTTTTGTGTTTGCCCAAAAAAAAAATTTTAATCAGTTTAAACAAATTAAAATTTTATCACATCACTTTTGAAAATACAATTTTGTTGGAAACTAAAATTATAGTATCATAAAACTATTTTTAAAAATCGCAACTCTGCCCGAGGGTTAAACGTGTAGTAACAATATTATACTGCTAGTCAAATACTAAAAAAGTCAGTCAGCCGTTTATTATTATTGGGACACGCGTTTCCTTTTTTGCTGGGTGTTAAATGAGAATATTAATATTCCATAATTTTTACTTGGGCGCTACTCCAATTTTTCCTCATTAGCTGTCTTTCCTTTCTTTGCGTAAGTATGTGTGTCTCGCCAGCTTCTAACCTAAAAAGTGTAGCCTTTATACATAGTTTCCTTTCTTCGCATTCACACAGCCTCTCTTCCAATATTCTTGTAAACCTCTCACCTTTATATATTATATTTTTACAACCAGAGCCTGAGAAAATTAGCTGAAACAACATCATGAGTTCCCATACCTTCTCCAAGAGAGCTTACAGCTTCTTCAAGTCTTACCCTTCTGCTTCCAAGCTTCTTCTCCTCAGTACCTTCAGGTCTCTCCCTTTATTTTCTTCAGATCTGTTTCCACATTACATTGTTGTCTGTATGAATATTACAAATCCAGTTCTTTTTTGTAACGAGTTCACTAGATCTAGTTTCTTACAATTTTTCTTTTTAAATCTTTGTCGTTTCGCTCTCTGACCGTTGTCGTTTCATGTACTTGTTTTTTTTTGGCAGTGGTGGTGGTTTACTAGTGTATTCAGACTCAAACCCACTGAAACGTACATTAACAGCAGATGGACAACAAATCAAGAAGAAGAAAGTCGTCGTTCTTGGAAGCGGCTGGAGCGGATACAGCTTCTTGAGTTACTTAAACAACCCTAACTACGACGTTCAAGTAGTCTCTCCTCGTAACTTCTTCCTCTTCACTCCTCTCCTGCCAAGTGTCACCAACGGCACAGTTGAAGCTCGTAGCATCGTTGAACCCATCCGTGGCCTTATGCGCAAGAAAGGGTTTGAGTACACTGAGGCAGAGTGTGTAAAGATCGATGCGACCAACAAGAAGATTCATTGCAGGTCTAAAGATGGGTCGAGTGTTAAGGAGACAAAGGAGTTTGACATGGATTATGATATTCTTGTTATTGCTGTTGGAGCTAAGCCTAATACGTTTAATACTCCTGGTGTTGAGGAGAATGCTTATTTTTTAAAGGAAGCTGAGGATGCTCTCAAGATTCGTCAGACGGTTATCAACTGTTTTGAGAGAGCTTCTCTTCCTGAGTTAACTGAAGAAGAGAGGAAAAAGATTTTGCATTTCGTTGTGGTTGGTGGTGGACCCACTGGTGTTGAGTTCTCAGCTGAGTTACATGATTTTTTGGTTGAGGATGTTGCTAAGATTTACCCAAAGGTTCAGGAGTTTACTAGAATCACTCTTCTTGAAGCAGGAAACCACATTCTCAACATGTAAGTTCCCATCTTTGGCTTTTATATGAATCCTGTCTTGGTACTGATGTTTTGCTCTCTCTTCAAGGTTTGATAAGAGGATCACTGCTTTTGCTGAGGAGAAGTTTCAGAGAGATGGTATTGATTTGAAGACAAAGAATATGGTTGTGGGAGTGACTGCTGATGAGATATCCACAAAAGAAATAGCAACTGGCAAAATTGTCTCTGAGCCTTATGGTATGGTTGTGTGGTCTACAGGTATTGGTATACGTCCTGTCATCAAGGAGTTTATGCATCAGATTGGTCAGGTTAGATTACTTTTACTAACCAAATCATTTGTTCTTTTGTCCACTTAACTAGATTGCTGAGTTTTGAGTATATGATTACAGGGACAGAGGCGTGTCTTGGCAACTGATGAATGGCTTAGAGTTGAGGGATGTGACAGTGTCTATGCTTTAGGTGACACTGCAACCATTAACCAACGCAGAGTCATGGTATTGTTTCAACTCCTTTATGTGTCATGTTACATGTATCAGATGATGAGTGGCTTTTCATAGTTTAATCTTTGTGTTTTCTTGAACAGGAAGATATAGCTGCAATTTTCAGCAAAGCAGACAAGGCAGAGACAGGGAAATTGAACAAGAAAGAGTTCAAGAATGTTGTGAAAGACATCTGCCAAAGATACCCTCAGGTTGATCTTTACTTGAAGAAGAAGAAACTGAGAAACATTGCAAACTTGCTAAAGAGTGCTAATGGCGATGACACTGAAGTCAACATTGAAACGTTTAAGCAAGCACTCTCAGAAGTTGATACTCAGATGAAGAATCTTCCAGCAACTGCACAGGTAAAAAAGCTTCTTTCAATAGACCAAGTAACTGACTTAGATGTTAAATCTCTCAGTTCTGATTCTTTGATGATTATTAACAGGTTGCATCACAACAAGGGAAGTATCTTGCAAAGTGCTTCAACAAAATGGAGAAATGTGAGAAGAAGCCAGAGGGACCATTAAGGTTCAGAGGAGAAGGTAGACATAGGTTCCAGCCGTTTAGGTACAGACATTTTGGATCGTTTGCTCCGTTAGGTGGGGAACAGACAGCTGCTGAACTGCCTGGAGACTGGGTCTCTATTGGTCATAGCAGCCAGTGGCTTTGGTACTCTGTCTACGCTAGCAAACTGGTGAGCTGGCGCACAAAGTCTCTCGTGGTGTCTGATTGGGTTCGTCGCTTCATCTTTGGCCGTGACTCCAGCAGCATCTAAGCTCATTTTTACTTCTCCTTCAAAATTTTGCATGATGTCCTAAATGTTCTTTTACTGCTTTTTGTTTTTTTTTTGAGCTCATGATTATTACAGTAAACTAAGATTTTGATGACAAGTTGAATCTTTCCATGTCTTTGAGCATTGATCTCTGAACACTGTCATGTCGTACAGACATATATAACAAAGAGTTTCGACACTATCTAGCAGGACTGGTCTTGGGCCAAGTTTAATAAAACATTCGTTTAGAGTCCCAAATTTTTGAAAAAAAAACTACATTGAAACAGGTCTCTTAAATTTGTAAAAAAAAAAACTCCAAATTTGTAAAATGAAAATTCCTTATTAACATCTTCGCTAAATTTGCCCGCAAAATCTCAGGGTCCGTAACTAGTCATCCATTTATTGGGGCTGTAAAAAGCTCACCACAAACTCTCCTTTCCTTGGAACTTAGCAACTCTTACATACGGTCAATGGGGGGTAACTAGGGTTATTTGACTCATATCTAGGGCTTACTTCCGCAGCAAGCAAAAGAATGTTATTTTTTTCCATTTCATGGGCCAAATAAAGGCCCATCTCTTTTAAGACCTATCCTCGATTAAATTAAATCCAACCGATCAAGTCAGTTTTATTAAACCGGAATAAACCAAACCAAATTCAGAAAAAAAAAAAACGAATTGAATTTCCTTCGTCGTCGTCTTCCTTCATCTCCTCCACCTCGCAGAAAAGATCTTCACCTCAAGTCTTCAACCATGCCCTCTGGCTGCAGCATCAGAGCTCTCTGGATAATCAACAACCAAGACGCCGTCGTTTTCTCCAGGTTCTTACTCTCATCTCTAACCACTCAATTTCATTAATCCAACAACATCTCTAATTCAAAAACAAAACGACGCCGTTTCAGGAAATTCCCGGTCGTTGAGAAGCGATGGCGCTCCGCCTTCAACACCTCCGACGGCTCAGATCCTCCTCGCCTTCCCACCGATCAACAACTCGCAACAGCTTTCACTCAAAGAAAACGACGGGAAGGCTCTGCTCGTGGATACGGCCTACGTGTCGTCACTCAATCCACTAAAGGATCAGATTCGTGGTTAGATGATCCCATCACTCGTCACATCATCAGTCTCCCCTTATCATCATCCGAGGAGGATGATGATAATAATGAATCTAACGAAAATGATGAGATGAATATTCTTTGGCCTATTGTGATTCAAAGCAAAGGTCTTTATTGTATTCTGGTGTTGCCTTTGGTTGAGCCAAAGGAGATGAGAGACTTTGTTAGCTTGTGTGATAGATCTGATTGTGGATCAGCCGTTGGTGAAGATTTGAGTTTGTCATCTCTCTTGCTTAACATGTCATCCATCACTGGGTGAGTGCACTTACACCATCTCCAATGGTTCACTCTATAATAGAGTCGAGTCATATTTCAAGTGTACTCTATTATAGAGTAAAAATAGAGTGGGGTTGGAGCATATCTACTCTAAACTCAATTTTAGACTGAGAAATAGAGTGGGTTTGGAGAGGCTCTTATACATATGTATATTTGGAGATGAGAGACTTTGTTAGCTTATGTAATAGATCTGATTGTGGATAAGCTGTTGGTGAAGATCTTAGTTTTTCATCTCTCTTGCTTAACATGTCATCCATCACTGGGTGAGTGAACGTAGACCATCTTCAATGGTTTACTAGAGTGATTCTATAATAGAGTTGAGTTATTCTAGTTGTACTCTATTTTAGAGTAGAAGTTAGAGTGATGGACAAAAATAATTAGATTAAGCTAATATATGTAGAGTGAACCTACTTTTTTACTCTATTATAGAATAAAAATAGAATGGGGTTGGAGTATTTTTTCTTTAAACTCAATTTTAGACTGAAAAATAGAGTGGGTTTGGAGATGTTCTTATACATATACTTTATCTAGACATAAGAGTTTCAGCTGTGTTTTACTTCCCCTTACTGATGTGTGTAGGGCTTTGATGGTGGCTCATTCGTTTGGTGATGTTACCTCTGGTGAAACGGTTGAGCCTGAGGTTGTTGTAGCAGCTTCACCATCAGTTGGAGGATTGTTTGATTCATTAACTGGGAGTATTGGTATCTCATCAAGGCCAAGACCTGTAGCTGCTGCACCCGTTGCATCTTCTTCTTCCTCCTCTGGTTCCTCTTTAACCGGAGCTGCGGCATTAGATGCTCCCAAAGCAGGGTTACTTGACAAAGATTTACTTAGAAACTTCATCGCTAGTGCTATGCCTTTTGGTTCGTACTAGCCCATTTGTTTCCTGATTAGGGCATTTATATTAAAGTTTTGCTCCAGTGATGTTACTCTAGAATATAGAGGAATGTTGCCTTTTTACTGATATTCTATTCTATAATAGACTAACACCATTGGAGCAAATGTTAATCTATAATAGATAGACTAACTCTATTTTAGAGGAAATTGCAGAGGAAAAAATAGACTGGCATTGGTGATGTGTATGCTATGATGAATCACTGACATTTTTAATATCAATTTTGCAGGTACACCATTAGACCTCAGCCTTTCTAATATCTTTGCTATGAAGGCAAATGGTTTTTCCTCTGCTGAGCCTCCTCACCAAGACCTTAAGCAACCAGCATGGAAGCCGTACTTGTACAAAGGGAAGCAAAGGCTGTTATTCACAATCCATGAGACCATTAACGCCGCATTGTACGACCGAGACGAGATTCCCGACAGTGTATCTGTGGCAGGACAGATAAACTGCAGGGCAGAGCTAGAAGGACTGCCTGACGTGTCCTTTCCTCTGGCGGGGCTGAGTAAAGCCCACATCGAGTCTATATCATTCCATCCGTGTGCACAAGTTCCAGCACATGGAATAGACAAGCAGAACATTGTTTTCCAGCCTCCATTGGGTAACTTTGTTCTCATGAGGTACCAGGCGGGTTGTGGGCTTGGACCACCAGTGAAAGGGTTTTATCAGCTATCAATGGTCTCAGAGGACGAAGGTGCGTTCCTCTTCAAGGTGGGTCTCATGGAAGGCTACAAGAGTCCTCTGTCGATGGAGTTTTGCACTATTACTATGCCCTTTCCGCGGAGAAGGATTGTGGGGTTTGATGGGACGCCTTCAGCTGGGACTGTTGTGACTACAGAACACTCTGTTGAGTGGAGGGTTCTGGGCAGTGGGCGTAGTCTTTCTGGAAAAAGCCTTGAGGCAACTTTCCCTGGGACAATTAAGTTTAGTCCATTGAAAAGCAGGAGAAGAGGAGACGGAGATGATGATGACAGTGACGGTGAGGGTACAGAGAATGTGGTGAACGTGGAGGAGGTTTTGGTGCAGAAAATGAACAAGGATCTCCCAGCAGTTGAGATGGAGGAACCTTTCTGCTGGCAAGCTTATGACTACGCTAAGGTATGTGTCTATGACTTTTGTTTCTTCCTTTTGGAACCTTCTGGACTTTGTTGTTGTTAGTATGTGTGTTATGGTTTACAGGTCTCGTTCAAGATTGTGGGGGCATCTGTTTCTCGAATGTCCATTGACACGAAATCGGTAAGCTTTTTAGATGATTCTTTTAGAGTGTTATCCCAGCTTTTACAAGGGTTCGTTCTCTTTGATCATGGCTCCCCTCTGTTCTGCTAGGTCAATATCTACCCAACCACAAAGTCACCAGTCGAGTATTCTGCTCAGGTAAGTTAGACCCAAGGAAATATTTAGAACTCAAGATTTGAGAAATTCTAATGGCTGTATGTGTTTAACTACAAACATGTGTACGTATAACAGGTGACTTCTGGAGATTATATATTGTGGAACACATTGGGGAAGGCTCCATCAGCAGCCGTTGTGTAATTCCCCAAGTCTCGACATCAGTTCACTGGAGAAGTGTGAGATTCAATTTGTTTGTTTGTGTTAATCATCATTATAAATGCGTGAAGCATGGATGGTTCTATTTTTTGCTGCGGAAGTGAATCTGTATATTGTTAGTGATCCTCAGTAAAAGAAGAAGTGTTTTTCCTGACATGGAACATGTGTGTGACATTAAGCCAATAAAGTCATGAGTGCAAATGCGTTGATATGGTTTGCAAGGCAGGTCTTTACAGAGGTTATGAAAGCGTCACTGCAGCGTAATGCAGAGGTTCTGATTCAAGAACGATCCCATGTTAAGGTACAAGAAAATGATTGGACAAGGATTGTGGTTATGGACCTTGTGTAGATAACTTAAAAGTAAATTTTGTAAGAAAAATTCAGAATAATACTCTGTTTATCTTCCAGTAAAACAAGATGTTACAATTGTTTATTTTTCAAATTAAGCAAAATACTAGTTCCTGGAATGCCATTAGACAAAACCAGAAAAGTATTGATATCACCATTGGTTAATCAATCTGATCCCGGAGAGAACAAAATCTAAACTCTATGAAAAGTTGGGGGAAAATGCTTTAAAAATGGGATTTTTCATCATCATCAGGAATGAGTAAACATAAACACTTCACATTGCTCACAGTTTTCACCATCATCAAGAATGGAGTTCATGTCTCTTCCTTGTGGTTGGTCCACCTGAGAGATCGGGTTGAAGAGATGTCACATAGAAACTTGAAGCTGCTACAAAAGCTTTAGTCCACCTGTTACTTCATCAACAACTTGGACTGGACCTGCAGCAGTAACAACCCTTTTTAAGTCTTCCAATGTTGTACTAAGAAAAGCAGATAAAATCCTATAAACAAATTATGCTAGCAAGATCTCTCTATTGCCCCCATAGATGGATTTGGATACCACACAAAACCAAAATTTTTTGAGCTTACATTTTCATATATTGGATTGTTATGAGCTGAAAAATAAAATCAGGGTGAAGGAGAAGTACCAAGGAGCGAGACTAGTACATTTAGTTATCAAAGGTAATAGCAATTTGCAACTCTCAAACTCATATATTATCTATCAAAGCCTTTAAACTTCACTTGGATCAAAAATAAAAACTCACCAAGAATAGCCATAACTGTCCTTGAATCTGGAAAACAACATAGAAGTATATTAGATTCACATTTTAGCAGAAAAATTGATTCCAGAGGTGATTTCTCCCTAGTAGTTGACTAGCAGACACCAAGGGATTAGAATTTTGAGAAAGGGTTTAGTACTATGAAACTTACTTGGTGCGATCTGTGTTCGTCCAGCATCGATGGTAATATGTGTAGGCAGCTTAAGGGATTTAGCTCTTCCCTGTCAGTTTCGTGAACAGAGTCAAGACAAGAATATATAAGTGAAGACAAGCTCTATGAAACTATCCAGTTCCCAGTATATGGTGGTCTAAACAGATTCAAGAAAGTAACATCCGGTCCAAAAGAAATCTCAACCACAGAGTCCAACTTTTCAAGTCACAATCTATAAGGATTGGACTTGTTATAGTAAAAAACTCACTTGCAACTCTAGCATCTCGTCCTCACTCTCAATTTTCACAACAACTTTAGGCTGTGAACATTCCTCCCAGCTGCAATAGCAAAACCAATAATACTGTTAAACCAGTCCCATCTTTTAAAGTTTTTTTTTTTGATAAATAAGGAATAATACCAGTTCAATGCTTTAGGTGCTCGACGAACCAGCTTCTTGTATAAACCCAATGTTGCATGACTGCAAAAAAAAATGCTAAAGATGAATTAAAGAGAGAAATAGAGAGAGTACTATTAGTTTTTAAAAGCTTATGAGTAGTAACCTGCATTGTGCTGCAATCTTTCCTTTACCCATTTTAAGATCATTCCTTACTACCAACACCTTTAGTCACATTACACATTAAAAAACAAAAAAAATTCAACATAAAAGAGATCATAGAGAGAGGCAGAAATGTAGTAAAGATACCATTTTGAAATCATTTAGAATATTAGCGAGTTTCTCGATGTCCAGAGAATCCTTTGAAACCAGTTTGTTGCTAGTATCAACAGGAGGAGGTTTGGAAGGACGAGTGCCAATGCAGAATCTGAGTGCAGCTCCAACGATTAGGGAGCTCAACCACGTCAAATCCATCCTTAGTATCTGGATTAAGGGAATAACTCAACAATCAATGGTTTGACGAAGAAGAGAGTCGAAAAGCTTACAAGAAACAAAAAGGGCGTTTGGTCTAGTGGTATGATTCTCGCTTAGGGTGCGAGAGGTCCCGAGTTCAATTCTCGGAACGCCCCCTATTTGTTTTTGATTTAAAACAAAAAAAAAAGAGGGAGAGAGAACGTCTTTGAAGATGAATCTTTGTATTTTTCAACCCATATTGAATTATAATAAGTATACATCTATTTAATTTTCTGTTTTTCACATTAATTTATTAATATAGAAAAATATTTATGATGACTTTAATGTATAAAATTTGGTTTATGGATTTGCGTCATTTAAAATAGTGAAATATAAGTCTAATAATAATTTTGTCAGATTATTCATTAATCACTAATTTACACAAGTAATGATAAAATGATATTTTTGGAACTGAAATTTCAAATTTGTTAGCATTACTTGAATTATTTATTTATTACTCTATAAATATATATATTTGGGAAATAATGTTAACGTAAAGGAGGAGCAAGGGGATAAAGATAAAAGAAGGAGGGCATAAAGTTATTCCCGTGACCAAACACACTTAAAAAGAGGAGATACGCGTATTGACTTTGTCTTTGTCAACGGTATTGACTTTGTCTCCTCTCTCTCTAGTCTCCTTCCTTCTTCTTGTTGCCTGTTCGATCGATCATATTTCAGCTTTCTTATCCTTCCAGCTTCGGATCCGTACCCAAGGTAAGAAACTCCTCGTGTGCTTCTACTTGCCGTTTTGTTTACTGTTTTTCTTTTTTTCTTTTTTCATTTTTGTTCCCTCTAGTTCTAGGATTGTATAGGGAACAAGAACTGAGTCAACGACCATGAATTGTTTCCGGATGAAACACGAACTCACTGAGACTCGATCAATCAGTGAGTTTCCGGAAGAAGTGTTGTTAAAGATCCTAACTTGTCTTCCAAGCAAAGACGCCGTGGCCACAAGTGTCTTGTCAAGCCAATGGAGATCTCTTTGGAAAGAGCTCAACACATTCAGGTTTGATGGTAACTCATATAGTAGAGATTACGGGAGATTCCTACTCTTCATCACCAACCTCTCAAACCTAGAGAGCTTGGAGCTCAAGATTGACCCTGCTTACATGAACAAACAAATCAGAACTCTGGTTAACCTCGCAGTCACTCGATCTATGAGAAAGCTTAGCGTCCACATGATTTGCAGCTGCTTTGAGTTGCCCGAAAACTTATTTGTTTATTCACAGCTTGTAACGGTTATTCTCGAGAAGGCGACTCTGGTGGATGTTCCACTTGATGCTCGTTTGGTTTGCCTCAAGAGTCTCCACCTTTTGTCTGTTAGATTCTCGAACGATGAATCTGTGGAGAGGCTTTTAAGCAGATGCCCTGTTCTTGAAGATTTGGTGGTGAGGAGAATCACGTTTACTAATGTGAAGGTGTTCACTATTGATGTGGCTACGTTGAGGAGTTTGTGTATTGATAACTCTTGTGGGAAGTCTAGGCCTGAAGGTGTTCATGGGTTTGTGATTAGAACACCTTCTTTGAGATGCTTTACTATTAAAGACAGGTTCAGCAATTATTTACAGTTTGAAGATATGCCTGAGCTGGTTAAGGCGTGTGTCAGCGTTGTTGTTTCGGACCAACCTGATGACATGTTTCTAGGATGTCTTGCCTCGACTCAATATCTTTCTCTCTGTTCTCTCACTTCACAGGTTTGCTTCTAATTATTGATGAGAAACATCCCACATCGAAAATATAAGAATTAATTAGGAGTTTAGGGCTTTTTAGAATTTGGACTTTGATACCATGTTAGATTTGAGTTTATTATGGGCTTCCAAATTAAAACCAACTAGACCTTGACCCGTGCGACCGCATGGGTATTGATTTTTTTTTTTAATTTTTATATTAAATGATATTTTTGTAAAAAATAATTGTATTACATTAAATTTTTTGTGTGTGTTAACAAATTATTCTATCAAAAATATTAGGTATCATAAAAACAAATCTAACATGTAGACGATATATTGAAAATATTTTTCAGTTAAAGATACACATCAAATCTTGAGAAGTAAGAGTTAATATGGTATACAAAAAATAATAAATTAGTTATAACATTTCTAAGAAAAAACCTGATGTTCAAATTATATAAATTTTTTAATATATAAAACATTTGGATTGAAATTTGTAAAATAAAAATGAAGTATCAATTAAATGGTTACAAATTACTTATGGATTTAATTTTGACAGAAGAATACCGAAAAGTTTATTGTTTGATCCGCGCAAGTGTTTCTTTTTATATATTTTATAAGTGATAATATATATTTCTAAATTTACTCGTTTAAATAATAAAACGACATTTTAAACACACAATTTTTTAGTTTATATTGAGTAATTTTATTTTATCTTATAAACTATCATTGTGTCATACTTATTTTAAAAATATGACCCGTATATCTGCACAAATGTTTTATTTTTTATTTTTATGGATCAAAATTTTATGATAATGTACAACTAAATTGTTGTATCTACTATTTAAAATATATGGTCCTATATATTTCTACTTTTTTAACTTTTATTATTCTGAATTTACCTTGAACTATTATTTATATAAAAATATACATAATATATTTATATTAATCTATATATAATAAAAATATAATTGTATATCTTTGAAAACAATATTTTTCATTAATTATTTAAAGATATGTAGATAATTAATAAGAAAAAAATCCTGAAAGGTAGGTTAATTAATATTGAAATTAATTATTATGTATATGGAATTAGTAAAACAATTTCTATTTAATTTATTTATTTAATTACGAAAGGTATATATGAAAATAATTATTTTCATTAATTATTGTTGCCATATTTTTTTAGTTAAATTTTAATTTTGGAAATGCATTAATTAAAGTGAAAAGACAAAGAATCCTATAAGGTAAAAGTCAGGGGTATTTTATAAGTGTACTTCTATTTTAATAATATAGATTGGTGATTAGTGGATTGGCTCCAACCCTTTATATAATAGTAGATTAATTCTTGTATTTTCGATGTGGGATGTTTGTCATCAATACTAATCTATGATGTTCTTATCATTGTAATTCTTACTCTCTCTCTCTTTGTTTTGCTTTGATTGCAGACTCTTTCTGGCATTTGTTTCCTCTCTCTTGAACACCTAGAGCTTTGTACATGTTCTTCTGAGTGGTGGAATCTACTTAACCTTATACTCAATGCTGCACCGATGCTTCAAGTTCTCAAGCTCAAGTTGGTATGTGGTTCTTTCCTCCTTTGCTACCTTTATGTATTGTTTCTCCACTTTATATTCGGCCGAACAAAATGTATTATTATTATTATCTCTATCCTATAGTTTCAGAAACACTGTGTCCAGCACGACAGTATAGACTCATGGAACCAACCAAGTCATGTTCCTGAATCTTTAACATCCCATCTTGAGACCTTCGAGTGGAGACAATACAAGGGCACAGAGAAAGAGAGAGAGGCTGCAATGTACATTCTAGCCAACGCTAGTGGTCTAAAGAAGGCGACATTCTACTCAGAGAAGCATGAGATATTGAAGGAGCTGGAATGTGTAGCCAAAGAGGTTCAAAGTTCTTGCACGTTTGTGTTTGAGTAAACGCCTACTTGTTAATAATAACTTGGAATGATTGTCTGTATTTCTTCTTCTTATTCTATTATGTTTCTCTGTTTAATTTATCAAACAATTTAAAGATTACTTTATAGAAGAGTGATCAAATAAATTGTAAGTTATCATCATTTTATGAATACTTATTAATGTATGTCTTATTAATTTTTGACTCATATTATGTTATTATTTATATCCATAAAGTCACGCAGATACTTGGATATATAATAACCCTAGCAGTTTTGCTACCAGACATATCCTTGGATATATAACTTGCTTCTCGTGATATATCTTTTATTATTTACGCTAGAAGTGATATACAGTCACAACCGAAGTGTGTCAATAACTCAATATTAAGTGACACATGATAACATCCAAAACACATATGTGTGGAGTGGAGGTTGAAGAAAGCATATATAACTTGGAAATTATCTTCGACGATTTAAATAAATGATCAACACGATTACAATTGGGAATCCAAAAGTGGATTAGTGTCAGTAACAGAGTCGACGAAATCTGGTTCAAGACAAAGGGAACAACCATCAATGCGTCTAAAGAAGAAGAGAGTCGAAGAAGCTTACCGGAAAGAGAGAGAAAGCTCCAGAGTTATTACCAAACATAAAGGGCGTTTGGTCTAGTGGTATGATTCTCGCTTAGGGTGCGAGAGGTCCCGAGTTCAATTCTCGGAACGCCCCTTCTTTTTGTTCGTCTCTTTATTTATTTGGTTTCAGAAACATAAAAGAGGGAGAGAGAGCGGCTTTGAAGATGATCTTTGTACTTTTCAGCCCATATTAAACCATAATAATACATATATTTATTTTCTGTTTTTCTTTTTCACATTAATTTATTAATATAGAAATAGTATATGATGACTTTAATTGATATATAATTTTCTTTTATATGGATATCCAATCATTTTAAATCGTCAAATATAAGTCTAATAATAACTTTGTCAGATTTTCCATTAATCATTTTTTTTTACATAATTAATGTTAAATCATATTTTTGGAATTAAAATTTCAAAATTTCTTAGCATTAACTGAATTATATTAATTCATTACTCTATAAATAAAAAACAATTTCTGGGCAATAATAATGATAACGTAAAGGAGGAGGAAGGGGATAAAGATAAAAAAAAAGAGGGCATAAAGTTATTCCCGTGACCAAACAAACTTATTAAAGACAGACACATTCTCTCCCCTTCTTCAGAATTAGTCCCTCGTCAACGACATTGACTTTGTCTCCTCTCTAGTCTCTCCTTCTTCTTACCTGTTCGATCATATTGCAGCTTCCTTATTCTTCCAAGCTTCGGTTCCGTACCCAAGGTAAGTAGGTAACAAAACTCGTGTGCATCTACTTGCTTCTTGTTTCTGTTTTTAATTTTTGATCGCTCAAGTTCTAGGGTTTTTGATCACATGAACTGCGTTTACTTAATTAGGGTTTCCATGATCAGTGAGTTTTAATTATTCTTCCGATTATGACTTTGTTGTTTTCGTACCAAACCCTATGTAACAGGATAAACCTTTATCCTTTGGTTTAGTTCTTTAATTTCTGGTTTAGTCTTTCGGTTTAGCTTCAGTCACGAAAATCTTCACCCCTTTGTGCTTCAAATCGTGGTGACCGGGTGTATCAAGATCCTCACAAAATATGCATAATCCATTTGACATCCTGTCATAGATCTCCTCGCATGAATATTTCACCGGAATCTTACACGGAGCCATGGAAATCAGTTCGCCGAGGATTGACGGCTCTGATACCATTAAAACAATCTTCTTAAACCCTAATTCTCTGTTCATCATCTTCATCATCCACCATTAAGAATCTCTATTCTTCGGGATGATCCTTCTTCCTTCGTGGTCGTCCTCTAGACTTTGATTTACCGGTTCTCGAGCTCGCGGTGAGCTTCTGGATCGGATCTATCGATTACTCTCAGAGTTACTGTAAAGAGAAAGAGACTACATATAATGTTTATTAAACCAAAAAGCTAAACCGAAAGACTAAACCAGAAATTAAAGAACTAAACCAAAGGATAAAGGTTTATCCTGTTACACCCTACTTGATTTTTTAGTACCTTTAATGATTTCTCCTTGTTTTGTCTAATGTATCAAGATGTTTTTTTTTTAATTATATGTTTGATGAGATCTGATGTATGTGAAACTCTTGTTGCATCAACTACTATTGTAACTGAATGATATACTTTTGGTCAGGCCATATTTATATAACTACTTTCTTTCTTGTTCCAGGGTTTTTTTTTTTTTTTTGATTGTTTGATTACTTGATATGGTACAAGAGATTTGAGGATAACATCAGAATATAGTATATTGCAGTTAGAAAACGGTTTTATATTAGTTCTGAGTAGAATCTTGTGCTTACTGATGGCAAAAAAAAAAAAAAAAAAATCTTGTGCTTATTTTTTTTTCTTTTTTTTTGTGTGAACACACTCTTGTGCTTACTTAGAGTATAGTAAAGCATGTATAAGTTAATGTTCCAGCTTCTTGATGAGTAGGCTGATGTGTTTCCATTTTACAGGTTTTTTGAGTAGCAGCAAAAATGAGTGACAATCTCATGGACAAAGTTACCGCCTTTGGTGAGCGCCTCAAGATTGGTGGCTCAGAAGTGAGCAACAAAATCACCGCCGGTGTTAGCTCCATGAGCTTAAAAATGAAGGAGCTTTTCCAAGGCCCAAACCCAACTGATAAGATAGTTGAGGATGCTACTTCGGAGAATCTAGAGGAGCCTGACTGGGATATGAATCTGGAGATATGTGACATGATTAATCAAGAGACTATTAACAGTGTTGATTTGATCCGTGGGATAAAGAAGAGGATTATGATGAAGCAGCCGAGGATTCAGTACCTCGCCTTGGTTTTGCTTGAGACTTGTGTTAAGAACTGTGAGAAGGCGTTCTCTGAGGTGGCAGCTGAGAGAGTCCTTGATGAAATGGTTAGGATGGTTGATGATCCACAGACTGTTGTGAATAACCGGAACAAGGCTTTGATACTCATTGAAGCTTGGGGTGAATCGACTAGTGAACTTCGTTACCTACCGGTTTTTGAAGAAACTTACAAGGTAAGTGTGACCACAGTACATACTGATGTCAGAATCTCGTAAGATCAAGTCTTGTTGTTTATTGTCTTGTACTTTTGTTTCTGTGTCATAGAGCTTAAAGGCGAGAGGTATCCGTTTCCCTGGACGAGACAACGAGAGCTTGGCACCTATTTTCACCCCTGCTCGGTCAGCTCCAGCACCAGAAGTGAACACTGATCCTCCTCAGCATACTCGTGAGCCTGAGCGTGTTCAGTATAGTCCTCCTGTGAGAAGCTTTACCGCTGAGCAGACAAAAGAAGCTTTCGATATAGCAAGAAACAGCATTGAACTTCTTTCCACGGTTCTCTCCTCTTCCCCTCAACACGATGCTTTACAGGTAATTCTTGAATATAGATAACAGATGACACGGCTCGCTCACTGACCAAATGGTTTAATCTCTCTGAGTCGCAGGATGACTTAACAACGACACTTGTACAGCAATGTCGCCAGTCTCAAACCACTGTCCAAAGAATCATCGAAACAGCAGGCGAAGACGAGGCCCTTCTCTTTGAAGCCTTGAATGTGAACGACGAGCTTGTGAAAACTCTGTCCAAGTACGAGGAGATGAACAGACCCTCTGCACCGCTAACGGCACCCGAACCAGCCATGATTCCCGTCTCTGAAGAGCCTGATGACTCTCCACTTCACGGAAAAGAAGAGTCTCTGGTCAGAAAATCGTCGAGTACACGAGCATCTATCCTTGGGAGTGGTGGTGATGACATGATGGATGATCTTGATGAGATGATATTTGGGAAGAAGAGCGGTGACTCTTCCACCGATAAGCAGCAGTCTTCGTCTAAGAATGATGATTTCATTCGATTCTGAGATGGTTCTTGCAAAACTGTGTTAATGGATTTGGTGTTTAATTGGTGATAATGGAAAACAGTTTCTATGTAAGTAATCTGTGTTTGAGGATCTCTTTGGATTTGTGTGATGGTTTATAAAGAAAGAGAGTTGTTAACTTTTATCTTCTCGATCTATTGTGTGTTTACTTGCTCATCATTTTCATTTTCGTCGCCTCCCTCGAACAATTTCTAATCCATAAAGCACCGAAGCTCACGTCATCGTTTAGAGACGACACGGTGCGTAACGAGAGTGACAATGATCTAAAAAAAGCTCGAATCGAGGGTGTTTGAGAGAGAGAATCGGTTATTAAACGAAGACTCGGGAGAGTACCAAACCGGTTTTCCGGTTAAAGTTTACGTCTACGAGATGCCAAAGAAGTTCACTTTTGATCTTCTCTGGTTATTTCATAATCTATCTATATAATAATAGTAGTGTTTGTAGGCTCCACAACGCGCCACGTCAGCAGTTTTGTGGGGTCCATAGGTATTGTTTTAAAACCTATAGATTTAGTAAGATGATTATGAACAATGAAATACACTTTAGCCAAGTGGTATAAGGTGTCCAATTAAGCATGCAAGATCGTGGGTTCAAACCACGTAGCTACCATGTATTTTTGATTTTTTGACTTGGGTTATTATCAAATGGGCTTTTTGTTTATAAAGTTTTTATGTATTTTTTGGGCTTATTATTTTAAAGATCTTAGATAAACCCTAAAGTTTAACAAGTTCAAACCCAAAAATAGTTAAAAATAGATCCAAAAACGAACAATAAAAAAAAAAATAGTCTCACGCGGTTGCATACGCGGATAGCTTAAAGAACCTTAAAACTATCCTATTATAATATAGCTCAACCCAAAAATAATAAAAAATGGATCCAAAAACGAACAGACCAAAAAAAAAAAAAGACACGCGGCTACCTACGTGGATGGCTTAATGAAGCTGGAATAGTATAGATTAAGAGCTCAAAAATTTAATCCTTGCACAGATTTCCTAATATATATTTTCAAAAAAATTGTATGTGAGATAAAATTAAAAAAACAACAAAATTTAATTATTTTTTGTTATTTATTAAATGAATATGTAATTTCTCTTACATTTTAATAACTACTATAATTTCATTGAAAACCTTCCTCACCACCGATTCCAGACCCTGGCGAATGGATTCCCACAGTCGATGACGCAAAAATAGGATTCCCGGGCGGACTCTCAATTCCTTCTTCAAAGGGATCCTCGTTCGAATGGGGAGGTAGATAAAAATGCCACATCATTTATGAACAAAACTCAAACTTACAAAAAAACATATATAAAAATCTATCTAATGAAACTTAAACAACGAATATTAACTTAATTAAGGTTATTTTCAAATTGATAAATCGTTTAATACAAATATAAATACTATAAATATAGAATTATATCAAGTCTTGACCTACAATATAAAAAAAAAATTTACAGCAAAAAGAAAACACCTACGTTTACACACGAAAAACTATATTATAGTCTAACTATTACTATAAACCTTATTTCGTATATAAATAACATTTAACAAATTCCTAATATATTTTTAAAAAAATTGTATGTGAAATAAAATAAAATAAAAACAAATATTAAGTATTTTTTGTTATTTATTAAATGAATATGTAATTTCTCTTATATTTTAATAACTACTATAATTTCATTGAAAACATTCCTCACCATTAACTCCTGACTCTGGCGAATGGATTCCCATAGTCGATGACGCCGTAGATAAAAATGTCACATCATTTATGAATAAAACCCAAACTTACAAAAAACCATATATAAAAACCTATCTAATGAAACTTAAACAACGAATATTAACTTAATTAAGGTTATTTTCAAATTGATAAATCGTTTAATACGAATATAAATACTATAAATGTAGAATTATATCAAGTTTGACCTGCGATATAAAAACTATTTACAGCAAAAAAATAAAAAAAAAGACACCTACTTTTACACACTAAAAACTATATTATAGTCTAACTATTCCTATAAACCTTACTTCACATATAAATAACATTTAACACATTATATATACAATATTTTCACTTTACATTCTTACTACATTCTTTCAATTTCATTATTATTTGGTGTTATTAGAAGAATCCACTAAACCAACAATCGGAAAAATATTGCAAACACAATGATCCTATCCCCGCGCTTGCGCGGGGAGTATGCAACTAGTACTTACAAAGAGACACCAAACGCTACTTCTAACGGTAGCTCTATACATCGACTTATCGAACAGGTTTAATTAATTACTTTTTGATTTTGACTGTTTATTTTTTTCACTTGTTACTGTCTGGCCCCACACTAAAGAAAGTTTATAGTATATTTTTTTGCAGCATTCTATTGATTATTGGCTCTTGGCTGATCTCATCTCTCCTGAATCCCAACGGCGTTTAAAAGTGTTATGAGGGTTCATAAGCAGAAGGATGTAGAGTTTTTCTATGTTCCGTTTTTTACTACCATTAGTTTCTTCTTGTTGGAGAAGCAGCAATGCAAAGCACTCTATAGGGTGTGAGTGAGCTTTGATTATTTTAATATATTTATAACAACAGAACTAGTTTTCTATATTTTAACTTGTGTCTGAATGAAGGAAGCTTTGAAGTGGACAAAAAAAAAAAACTAGTTCCTTTTTCCGACAGGTGTTACATGTTTTTGTCTGAATGTAGGAAGCTTTGAAGTGGGTGACTGATCAGCCTGCTTGGAAAAGATCTGAGGGAAGGGATCATATCTTTCCTATTCACCATCCCTGGTCTTTCAAGACGGTTCGCAAATATGTGAAGAATGCTATCTGGCTTTTACCAGACATGGACTCTACTGGGAACTGGTGACTCTTGATTTTTTTTCTTTAAATTGATTGTGACAGGTCGTGTAGTGTGATCTCTTAGCTTATACTTTGATCTTAGATTCTTAACAGGTATAAGCCTGGGCAAGTTTCGTTAGAGAAAGACTTAGTTCTTCCTTATGTTCCCAATGTCGATAGATGTGATGCCAAATGCTTGTCGGAAAGGTGCGCCAGTGAGGACTACGCTTTTGTTCTTCCGAGGACGGCTTAAGAGGAATGCTGTAAGAGTCATCCCACATTGGCCTTTAATCTGAACTGTTCTTACCATTTTCTAAATGTCTTATTCATGTTTTGGCTACTGGATTGTTGTCTTAGGGAGGTAAAATACGTGCCAAGCTTGGTGCATAGCTAAGTGGTGTCAAGGATGTAATTATCACTGAGGGGACTGCTGGAGAAGGAGGGAAGTTGGCAGCTCAAGACGGCATGCGTAGGTAAAATCTTGCGTGCTTCCTAACTGTTTAGGTGCGATATATGTTTTTTTTTTCTAACTACGTATGCTTTGTAGCAGATCTTTATTCTGTTTGTGTCCTGCTGGTGATACACCATCCTCAGCGAGATTGTTTGATGCTATTGTTAGTGTCTGTATACCTGTTATAGTTAGTGACGAGTTGGAACTTCCTTTTGAAGGAATACTTGATTACAACAAGGTATATGTCACAAAAACACCTATTAACATTGGTGCTCTGAGCTTCTACCACATTGTCTATATATGTGGCAAAATCTGTATAACTGTCTCGTTGTTCATTTCAGGTTGCTGTGATTGTTTCTTCTAGTGATGCAATACAACCAGGGTGGCTTGTGAATCATCTGAGACTCCTTATACCCTCCCAAGTCAAAGAATTTCAGAATAGCCTTGCTCAAGTTAACTCCTCAAACATGTTTCTCATCTTCACAAGCTCTGGTTTTCAAAATGGCACAAACCTACTTTCATAATTGTCCTTACATGAGTAAGTTTTATATCCTTCTTAAGTAGTATGGTTATTTTCATATATTTTTTTCAGTACTCGCGGCATTTCATATATTCCAGCCCTGCTCAGCCATTAGGTCCAGAGGATTTGACATGGAGAATGGTATGTATACCTATCAGAGAATGTTGTTTAGATCCTTTTGCTTTGATCTCTCAGCGGAAACTAGAAAAATTGGTTTAGACTTACTGCAATGCCAAAAAAATCTATGATTGAGAAAAGCTTGATGATTTTTTGTTGCAAATTTGCAATGGCAGATAGCTGGAAAGCTGGTGAACATCAAGCTTCACACAAGGAGGTCACAACGTGTCGTGAAAGGATCTAGGAGTATATGCAGATGCGATTGCTGGAGACCTAACTCTACAGCCTCCAATTCCCTGAGTCCTCTCTTGCCTTAAGACACATCACTCCACTTCACACTTTCAGTCTTGCAAGTTCCCTTCGATATGTATGTACACTTTAAAGGCTTATTCTATACAATTTCAACATTGCTTACTATTTTGTAAAAATCTATGTCTAGCTTCGCAACCCAGCAACACAAACAAGTTATCTGCAGATTATAGATTTGAACAACACAGAAACTTATTGAAAGTGTTGAGCAAAAAAACTTTGGTCATTACAATCTTTGAGTTGAGTTTAGTTTGCCTCTTTGGAGGACGAAGCAATACCAGTCTCTTTGTGTGACCTTTCCCAGTTCACACCATCATAGCTTCTAATCTCAACGTGCTCCAGTGTCCCCGCCTTGACACACTTAACCGTGACAGAAACTCCATCAGGGTTAGACCTCGGGATATAAAAGGAAGTGATCCCACAGACCTTGCAGAAGGTATGCTTGGCCGTGTGAGTCCCAAAAGTGTAAGTGGTGATGAAATCTTTGGAATCATCAAGAAGCTCAAAGTCGCTTGCAGGAACAACGAAATTGACGTTTCCTCTCATTGAACAGTCTGTGCAGTTGCAGCTCCATGCCACCACTCTTCTTGATGCTTTCACTCTCCACTTGATTTTCCCACAGTGACAACCTCCTTCATGAAGTACCAACTCTGATTCCATTGCTAGTTCTTCCCAAATCTGCAATCAATGATCATCACAAGCTATGATATTGATATTTTTAGCAAGAACACAACTCCGATCTGTAGAGACTGATCTAAATAAACGTGAAAAGTTAACAGATTCGGACCAGTTGTTGTTGAACAGAGTGCTGTTTGCTCGCGATTGATGAAGAAGTTGGAGATGCACAGTTGTGTCTGAAGTCTACGCCTCCATCTGGCATCTTGTAGGAAGTAGTATGTGTCAACAAAGTTGAACAAGTTAGCCACGCGCGTTTTTTTTTATCTTACTTTTATTTGCGTGTTTTCGACGTGCCAGATGTGCGAGTGAGTTTTATTTCAATCCCCACCACGTATTTTATTGTGAATCATCTGAGAAGCCTTATTCCCTCCCAAGTCAAGGAATTCCAGAATAGTCTTGCTTAATGCTGGGCTTTCGGGTTTTCGGTTCAGATCAGTTCGAATTATTTGGTTTTTGGATTATTCGGACGGGTTGGGGGGTTTAAGAACCGTTTTGAAACCAGAAACTTTTCGGATCAGTTCGGGTAATGTCGGGTTCGGATCGGGTTTCTATTTTCTTATAAAACCTAAAGTGGAATCGAGTTAGAAATAGTTCGGGTTTGGTTCGGGTTTAAAGCCCAAAAACAAAAGGAAGAACCGAAAAACTGAGTTAAATCCATAAAATATTCTAGTAATTCGGGTTTTTGGATATTTTTATTTAAAAATTACATTATATATATATATATATTAAATTAAAAATAATTAATATTTTCTATTATACTTATAATATTCGGATACCCGTTCGGTTCTCGGTTTGGTCCCGATTTGGTCTTAGTATTTTAGATTTAGAAAAATACGAACCGTTCGAATTTTTATAATTTCCGGTCCGGTTTTGATATCTGTTTTTTCGGTTCTGTTCCGTTTCAGTTTTCGGGTTTCAGATTCCCAAGACTAGTCTTACTTAAGTAACTCCTAACATTTTTTCTCATCTTCCTAAGCTCTGCTTCTTTTATTTGCTATATCCTTTTTAAGCAGTATGGTTATTTTCATTATTTTTTCCAGTACTTGCGGCATTTCATATATTCCATCCCTGCTCAACCATTAGGTCCAGAGGATTTGACATGGAGAATGGTATGTACCTACCTACCAGATGATGTTGTTTACATCCTTTTGCCTTTGATCTCTCAGCAGAAACTAGAAAATTGATGTAGAACTGCAATGTCAAAAATCTATGATTGAAAAAAGCTTGGTTGTTTTTGTTGCAATGACAAATAGCCGGAAAGCTGGTGAACATCAAGCTTCACACGAGGAGGTCACAACGTGTCGTGAAAGGATCCAGGAGTGTCTACAGATGCGATTGCTGGAGACCTAACTCTACAGCCTCCAATTCTCTAAATCCTCTCTTGTCTTAACACACATCACTCCACTTCACATTATCAGTCTTGCAAGTCCACTGGATATGTATGTACACTTTAAAGGCTATTCCTATACAGTTTTCACCATTGCTTATTATATTGTAAAATTCTATGTTAGCTTCGCAACCCAGCAACTTAAACCAGTCACAAACAAGTTATCTGCAGTTTATTGTTTGAACTCAAAATCCAGAGCTTTATTATTCAAAGTGTTGAGCAAAAAAAAACTTTGATTTTCCAAATTGTTTCTCCCTCGTGCTTTAAGCTTCTTTCTTCCTGGTCAACTAGTCATTACAATCTTGAGTTGAGTTTAGCTTGACTCTTTGGAGAACGAAGCAATACCAGTCTCTTTATGCGACTTCTCCCAGTTAAGACCATCATAGCTTCTAATCTCCACCTGGTCCAGTGTCCCTGACTTAACACACTTAACCGTGACTGCAACTCCATCAGGGTTAGACCTCGGGATATAAAACGATGTGATCCCACATACCTTGCAGAAGGTATGCTTGGCCGTGTGAGTCCCAAAAGTATAAGTGGTGATGAAATCTTTGGAATCATCAAGAAGCTCAAAGTCACTTGAAGGAACAATGAAATGAACATTGCCTCTCATTGAACAGTCTGTGCAGTTGCAGCTCCATGCCACCACTCTTCTTGATGCTTTCACTCTCCACTTGATTTTCCCACAGTGACAACCTCCTTCATGAAGTACCAGCTCTGATTCCATTGCTAATTACTTCTAAATCTGCAATCAATAATCCTCACAAGCTAACATATTTGAAATTTTTACCAAGAAAATAAATTCGATCTGCAGAAGCTGGTCTAAATAAACGCGAAAAGTAAACAGATTCGAACCAGATGTTCTTGAACAGAGTGTGTCTGGTCGTGATCGATGAAGATGTTGAAGTTACAGTTGTGTCTGAATGTCTACGCCTCCTTCATCTTCGTGTTTCGTTTTTTTTTTATGTCCGTCAGGGATTTTGTCTGCGTGTCCTTAACGTGCCAGTTGCGCGAATGTGATTTATTTTCATCTCGCACCACGTGCTGTCTATTACCAGTTGCACGTGCGCAGAAACTATACTAATTGGATCTAAAGTGGGATTTATTGGGCCTCATGGGCCTTTTATTGGGCCTAAATTAGGTTAGTAGAGTCGTTATAACTTTTGGAAGAAGCTAGTGACAAGTCTTCACCATCTTGATCAAATTGAGATTTTTTTAGGGAGATCGAAGATGGCGAGTGAAGGAGCAAAGGATCCATGGAAAGGAGAAGAGTGGGGGACGAGTGAGAATCAGAATCAGAATCAGAAGAAGCAGAAGAAGCCAAGTGGTGGTGGTGGGAAAATGGTGGCGAGAGCGAGAAAACAGATGCCGAGGGGACTCGAAGAGAAGTACGAAGCTTACTTCTTACCACGAAAGCCATGGCCTTCTGCTCTTGCCTTCTACGGAAGCTTTATACTTGGTGGGATTGGTGCTGGTATGCTTATAGAAGCTTGGATCAACAAAAAGGTTAAAGAAGATGGAGGTGTCATTTGGGAATTCGACAAGTGAAAAGAGATTGCGATTCAAGTTTCAGATGGTTTGTGTTTTAAATTTTCTTGTTGCAAGCAAACACAGTTTCTCTATAGACAAAACACTCTCGCTGTGAGCTTGAGAACTTGTTTTAACTGAAACGCATTTAAGTTGTTCGACGAAATGCTTTTTAGATAAAATGTTTCAAACAGTTTGTTACATAGTAACGACTAAAAATGGTAACGAACCAATGTCTTCTGTTATCTTTAGCGACACAGCTACTTCAACGGTTTTGTATTTGTTTATTTTAAGAACAACCCCATCGTCACTTACAGAACATATCCTTTGATTTCTCTCACTCAAGACCACGAGAAACCACAATTTTTTTAACATAACTGTTTTGCCAACGTTCTTCCCACATAATCAAAGTTTATGTCGATGCCTACATGGAAACACCTTGCAAAACAGATAATCTTTGTTTGTTTAACGGTGGGTTTAGTCTTTCTTTTGAGTGTGAATATAGAAGAAGAGATCTTTACTCCCTCCCTCCCTTTTGAGGCACCATTACGATCGTTTTCTTCCTTTAGTTGAATGCAACAACATCGACTCCAAACTTGTTCTTGAATGAAAAGAGTTACAGATAAGCAAAGCTAAAACCAACTGTTTATAAACAAATGAAGCCAAAATTAGTTGCATAATCATAATTGTCTGCACTGTGAAGTGCCATACAAGTAATGTTGTAAAATAAGATTTTGGAAGGTGATAGTCTTCAAAACCATAACAAACCAATTCAATTACTACTTTTTATTTGATTTTGCTTATTGAAACAATAAAAGAGAAGAAAAGAAGCTGTCTTTGTATGGATAAATATTCTTGTTTACCCAAGACACAACATTAATATATTTTTCTTTTCACTCACGAGCAACCACAACAACTTGCTTCCCAACGTTCTTACCATGGAAGAGTCCCACAAGAGCTTCAGGACCTTTCTCAAGTCCTTCAGCTACATCTTCCACGTACGCTATCTTCCCTTCTTTGATACACGGAATCACAAACTCCAGAAACTTTGAGTATTTGTCGAAGAAATCAAAGACTACAAAGCCTTGAATCCGGATGCGTTTGTAGATTATGCTAGTTAGGTTGTGTACACCTTCTTGGTGCTCAAGATTGTACTGTGAGATCATTCCACATACAGCAACACGACCGTGCATGTTCATGTTTAAGAGCACCGCGTCTAGCATTTTGCCTCCTACGTTCTCAAAGTATATGTCGATGCCTTTGGGAAAACACCTAGGGACAAAAAAAAGAAGAAGAGAATTTCTCATGCATTAGTAAAAGAGGAGTTGCATAAGATATATAGACATCAAATGCTTAAGGACAAGCGTTATTGAACCTTTTCAGCGCAGCACCAAGGTCTTGTTCTTCCTTGTAGTTAAATGCATCATCAAATCCAAACTTGTTTTTGAGTAGATCGACCTAATAATAATCCCAAACATATAAACAAATTAAAGAGAAGGTCATTCTCTTGAAGTAACATCAAGACAGAAATAAATAAACTAGTGTTGGAGAAAAAATCATACATTGAAAACTTAAGAATATACTTGGGATAGTCCACTTATCGTCAATTGATTTTAACTAAACTTAACATCTAGAAATGATGATGATCAGTAATGTTGTGTCACCTTTTCTTTACTTCCAGCACTTCCAACAACATAACAACCCATCATTTTTGCAAACTGTCCCACAAGCTGGCCAACTGCACCAGATGCAGCCGATACATAGACTGTCTCTCCTTTCTTAGGGGAACATACTTCATAAAATCCAGCATAGGCTGTCATACCCGGCATACCTACGAGGAAGAGAGCAAAGCCATGAAGGAGACTATATTGGTATAGACATGTGAAAGATTAACTTATGACCACCAAGATTTAAGAAATAATTTACATAAACATATATAGCTCATGAATTTGTAAAACAAAAAAAAAAATTATCAACACTACTAATAAACTGCCTTTAGCCCATAAAATCTCAGCGCCAATCCACTTATGCAACTTCGTGATCTCTATCTGAATCCAAGACACTACCTAATGATTACTTACAACAGAACAGGAGTAAGGACGAGATAATACATACCGAGAAGTCCAGTGTAGTAGGATAATGGAACATGGGTGTCATGGATCTTGAAATGCATTTCAGGAGTAACAACACTATACTCCTCCCATCCAACGATTCCCCAAAGCAAGTCACCTTGTTTGTAATCTAGATGATTAGACTCTATCACTCTAGACACTCCAAAACCTAAGATTGTCTACACGATAAACATAATGCACCATTCAAAACGAGAGAAAGAGAGACTATAATATAACACATATGTATATCATTATCATCTAGCTTATTAATAAACAAGTAGAGTTAACGTCGTACCTTGCCAGGAGTGAAAGCTTGAGCAAGAGCAAGAGCACTAGGCTTCCCCATGCGACTCCTCATGTAAGGATCACATGACAAGTAGAGATTCTTCACCAGAATCGAGTTAGACCCCTCCGGAAGCCTAAGCTCTACGGTGGTGGTAGTAATCTCAAAATCAGATTCTTTAGGGAATCCACTCACGTAGTCTCTCATTATGACTTGCTTGTTCGTCGCCGTTGTTGCTCCACCATTTCCTCCAGTGCTCATTGTTTCTTCTTCTTTAAGATTCACTTCTGAGTTTCAGGGATATCGTTTTCTTCGAGGACTCGACTGCTTGGTTTTATAGTGGCTTCTCGAGCAGCTTATGTTACTTCTAGGGATATCGTAACGTACGACGACGTCACTGCTGATTCACCACGCGGTTACAATTCTTTTTTTTTTGTTCGTTTCTCATCCTTTCCTATTCGATAAATTTCATTGCTTTTCACATTAATTTACTACTTAAATTTCTCAGAAATGCTTTTGGAAAGAATATATATAGATTCTGTATTGAAAGATATTATCTTCAGGTATTTGTCACTCATAAAATATTAATTATTGATTGAAATAAATTATTTGATAGAAGGAGGTGGTAATAAAATTCGAGGATAAGGATTTGATAGTGTAACAATTATAAGAAGCAAAACAAAGTGTTTATAAAAACAGTACATATATAATACTGTTTGAGGTCCTTCCGATCAATTTGTACAGCAAACACACTAATTTTCTTTAGACTAATAACCACATTAGTGTCAAAATAAGCTCTTTAACTTTATTTTCTAACATTCACTGTGGTGCTAGTACTATTTATTACAGGGAAATAAGAAAAAACACATTATTACAGAGATTTTAAACAATAGTGCTTTTATACATGTGATTATGGTTATATTTTATGGCGCGTCTGGGGCAAATATTGCTCAGAAACACACAAAGCAAATATCAATTTCCCAGCTCCCTACAATTCATGCAAAAAAAGAATATGCAACATGGACAAAGGCCCTACACAACCGCATTCCATTGCAACACAGCCCAACTGAAAATCAAGTCTTAGAAACATGAATAATCTACTAAGTTTGGGTGCAACTATTATCGAGATCATTCATTAGCCAACCAATCGGAGCAAATGATAGCTGCAAGATTATTCAGACGAAAACACTTATTTACAAGACGTCCAACTTCAGCTGCTACTTATAGGACAAACGTAAATGTCATGGAACACAAGTTTGATCAACA